AACCTGAGAAGTATATGGACATAAACTATTGTTTTTTTTTCTTCTGTTCAATCATATCCAATTCTCGGAGTCTGCTTGGACAAGCCCCAGTAGTTTTCTTGACAGGGTTTTTCAGAAGTGTTTTGCCATTTCCTCCTTCCTAAAGCTGAGAGAAAGTGAACAGTTCAAGGTTACCCAGCTGGCTTTGTGGCTAAATGGGACTAGAAGTCATAGTCCAAACTAGCTCTCATGAATATTAAGACTGGTAATTTCTTACCTATATTAGTTACTAAAGAACATTGTAAGTTATTTTCTAATGATAAGTGCTAATGATACTTTCAAGCATATGTGATGTATAAGTTACTCAATTTTTTAATGCAGTCTACTAATGCTGGGATATGGTATATTAGATGACCTTCTGAACATCATTAGAATTCTGTATAAATTTTAATGAATTAACTATTAACTATGTTATTAAAATACAGAATTATCATAGGTTTACTATTACATTATATAGAAAATCAAAAGTCCTGATCTTTTTCTTTTTATATAATTTATTACTGATAATGTTTATTATTAGGTATTTATCCGGTTGCCTTCTTTTGCTTTTGAAGGTTGACTTCAGGTCCAGAAAATACCCTCTTTCATTATATTTGTTTAGAAACAATGCATGGAATTTTTATTACTCCAACACATGCTGAAGTAGCACAACTCAATGGAACTATCCATCCTCAGCTCATCAAGAACTTCCATCGCTGTTGTCTTTCCATCCGTTCCATTTTTCAACAAACTATGCTGAGAGAAGTATAAATCCTTATCTTTTGGGGAAGGGGCAGAGGGGAGTTCTTTTGTTACAACAACATAATAGATACAGCTGGGTAAACATATATTTCTTTAGACAGATTTCTATTTGTAAAAGTCCCCATTTATCAGATATCTCAGAATTATCACATACAATATAACATTTTTCCTATACTTCTTCATATTGCCAGTGCAGATATTAATTTTGTTGCCCTTGTTCTACTGTAGAATAAAAAGTCTGGGGAAAGATTAAAATCCCAAAAAGCAAATTTGGACCTAAATCAAGTGAAAGAACATGGTGTATTGTTTGAGTGTGTTCCTGATAGCTGTACTGACCAAAAGAAACCCGATTCCACTATAATGTACTGGGTGGTAGGGTAAGTAATACTTTTTTTTCTTAATTTAGTCTAAATACTTGTTATTTAGTGTCCAAATTCTCAGAACACTTTTGTTTAATAAAAATAATCTATATAGTCTTTTAGGTTCTTCCCTAATCCAACAAGTGGTAGTAGAATCTGTAATATACTAAAAATGTAGCAAAGATTGAATTCATACATATTGAAGGTTTCAATAATCTCTACTGGACCTTTAGAATTGTATCTAATTTTGATAGGTCTGTTTTAATCCTTTAGTAAACTCTTGCAAAAATACTGTTTTTCAAATATATTTTAAATCTTGTGCTGACACTGAATTATGTTTTTTCTGCAGGAGGCTGTTCCTAGATCCAAAGCCTCGGGAATTTTATGTCTGTTTTCATGACTCAGTCACAGAGGTTGCTGTTGAATTGGCTTTTAAGTTATCATTTGGTTTAGCTGTATAGATAAACATATCTGCAATTTTTCATTTTCCACGTCGCACAAAACAGAAGTATTAACATTGTGGTTTTGTTTGGGGTACACTTTGAAATATTCTCTAAAATCAGTTATTTAATAGAAAAAAATTCAAACATTTATAACACTATTTATGAAAGTCATTCCTTTCAGAAGACTGGGTGTTATGGTATTATGTATTAATTATACATTATATGTAAATATTACGTATAGAATCAATGATCAAAATATATACACACCCACATTTTTTTTCCTTAAAGCTATATCCTTGGAAGATGCACCTGTAGAATTTGCAAACAATCTCATTCATTATGCAGTTAGGTCAGAGAATTCTATTATGTATGCACCTTTTTGGACTTTATTTAAAGAGTACAATGTAATGCTTGCATATTATGTCCAAGGCAGGGAACTGTTTTACTTCAGTTTAGTATGGAGTTTAAGATCAAAATAGGTAGATACCAAAACTAGAATTCAAAACTTCAGATGATCAACATTGTTTTATCAGAGATAAAGAAAAAAAAAGCTTAGTTTTTGCGGGCATATAATAATAATAATAGTAAAGTTGGAAGAGACCTTGGAGGTCATCTAGTCCAACCCCCTGCTCAGGCAGGAAACCCTATACCATTTTGGACAAATGGCTGTCCAGTCTCTTCTTAAAAACTTCCAGTGTTGGAGCATTCACTGCTTCTGGAGGCAGGTTGTTCCACTGGTTAATTGTTCTAACTGTCAGGAAGTTTCTCCTTAGTTCTAGGCTGCTTCTCTCCTTGATTGGTTTCCACCCCTTGCTTCTTGTCCTGCCTTCAGGCGTTTTGGAAAATAGCTTGACTCCCTCTTCTTTGTGGCAGTCCCTGGGATATTGGAACACTGCTATCATGTCCCCCCTCATCCTTCTCTTCATTAAACTAGACATACCCAATTCCAGCAGCCGTCCAGATTATGCAGTCCAGATTTGGTGGCCTTAACAAAATGGATTCCTTAAGCCTTGCAGAAAATTTATATGCAAATTCTTAGGAGAGATAGTTTACCTTACATTAAATGGATATAGTACTTTGTGATACAAAAAGAAGTTATATTTATATTTAGAAAATATTTGTTATAAAATAAAACTGAATGTTTCCTGGTACTTTGAAGTAAATGGGGGAATTGTCCATTTCATTTCAGAAAATGTTATATGACTTTTGTTACAATAAAGGAATATTCTTCATATAGTCTTGTATATAATTTAATTCTTTTTAATTTAATTTTTAACTAAAATATATCTTTTTATGGATTCATTATATTCCTGATTGTTAGACATGCTTTTTAAAAATATTATAGTAAAAGGTAAAGAACTATCATGTCACATATCCATATCGATAATTTCTTGAACATATAAACATACATTAGAGAACTATAGTTAGCACTAGCTTTTTGAAAGTAAGGACCAAACTATATGAACATCATATATAACAATCATGTGGCTTGGGTTAGGGCATGAAGCTATAAAGCAGCTATAGAAGCTAAGCCAAAGGCAACATACAATATGTTCAGTATGATATATAGACCAGCCAATGTAGGCTTTTTAAAGGACTTTTAAATCTGGAATCTGGTTTTCCTCACTACCGTTCCAATACAGGAAAGTTTTCATGCATAGAATTTCTTTTGGAAAATTGATGTCTTCTTATGTAAAACAGAGACTTTATTGCAATGCCAACAGCAACAACCAATCAGAGAGATTGGTTTGAGAATACAAAAAACAAAATGTAAATTTATTCCTATTATTTATTTATTTATTTATGAGGCTTATATACCGCTTTAAGTGCAAGCACTCTCTAAGCGGTGTACTACACCAAGTAAGGCAAAGTTTGTTGTATATATATATATATATAATATATATATATAATAATATATATATCTATATAATGTATATATATTTTTTACATTGCCCCCAACAATCTGGGTCCTCATTTTACCTACCCCGGAAGGATGGAAGGCTGAGTCAACCTTGAGCCGGTGAGATTTGAACCGCTGACCGGCTGAACACAGTCAGCTAAAGTGGCCTGCAGTACTGCACTCTAACTGCTGCGCCACCTTGACTCAATTTTTATTACTTTTAATGAACAGCATCTTGTCCAACTTGGTCCTTGGAAAATTCATGTATTTATTGCCAAACAATAATTGTAATGCACATTACTTGGGCTGCCTTTGAAGATAATTCAGAAACTTCATTTAGACAGCAATGGTGTGGATGCTGGTAGTTGAGAGACACTTTGCCAATATAACCTATAGTTGCTACGTTGGTTGCAAAAACCTCCCAGGTCTACTTAAAGTGTTACTTTTAATCTGTAAACCTTACATGGCTCAGCCCCTCTTTACCTTTGGACCATTTATTCTGAATAGAATTTGCTCATCCTGTGCAATTCCTGGCTCAGGAATTTGCTCATCCTGTGCAATTCCTGGCTCAGGAATTCTGGGAGTTGAAGTCCCTGAGTCATAAAAGAGCCAAGGTTGCCTACCCCTGTGTTGGTGTATGTGCTTAGGGTCTCTATTCCACAAGAAGGAAATGGTAGTGCAAAGCCCAATTTTGGCAGCAAATCAAATATTATGGACCATTAACCTCAGGTGCAATTAATTCCCGCACTGCTATTTTTTTGTAAATCTAAATTCTTTTTGAGATGGGTGATATCACCATCTCATCAAAATCACCAAAAATGGTGATAATGGGCTGCCTCATTTGTTTTCTTTTGTCTTCTTTCGTAATTAGGTTTTTTAAATTACTATTTCTGTTTATGTTTCCTGTGATTTGGTATATGGAAATAGTTATAGTATTAAAAGGGCAATACCATTTAGTTCTATGGGTGCTAACTGTAATAAAACTGCCCTATCAGAAAGTTTTTATTCTGATCATTTGTTTTGTCTTGAATATATATTTATATTTTTGTATTTTATTTTCCTATAAAGTATCTTGATTCCTTTGGGGTTCACAATATACAAATGTCTATAAATAGTGATTATACACTACAATTGACACTCATGAATGCAAGTATTCAGTGTAAGAGGGAGCAGGAGTGGTTTCCAATATTTTCTTCCTAAAATTAATGCCCCCCATGTGCTTTTTAGTCAGCCAAATTTATATTTTTAATGTGAAATGTGGATGAATACTTAAACCTTTTGTAATTGTTGATTGCATTAACTAAGCTCTGTGAAAGGCCTTTTTCGAATCAAGTTCTCTATTGCAAACTTTCTTCCTTCATTTTAGGCCTCATCTCACTATACTGAACTTACCTCCATCTTCAAAAGGCCCAAAATTTCCTATAAAAGGAAAGGAGAGGACGGTTGCTGTGATTGGGTGCTTCTGCATCATGTGGCTTGAGAATGGGGGGGAGAGGGGAGGGGAACTCCATTAGCTCTTTGTGAGCAGTGACAGTTAGAAGTGTTGCCTGGTGCTGGGTGATGCTGCTTGCAGGCCCTAGTTCCACCAACATCTTTCTTTCTACCCAACTGACATCATGCAGGCTGCTGAGGGGCAGCAGCTGTTTGATCCTGTCTCATTTGGAAAGGACCTCATGATAGGTGGGGTGGCAGCTGCTATTTCCAAAACAACAGTAGCACCCATTGAACGGGTGAAGCTCCTACTCCAGGTTCAGGCCTCATCCAAACAGATCCGTGCTGACCAGCAATACAAAGGCATGATAGATTGCTTTATACGCATTCCTCGGGAGCAAGGTCTGTTAGCCCTAGAAATAGTTCAGTGTTATGGTGGCCAAGATCCCTATGTTCTAAATCCTTCTCTGCCATGAAGACAATAAGTTAAGGGTTTTAGTTTTCTTTTAGATATGTTATTATTTATGAAAAAAAATTGTCATCATCTCTGCAAGGCAATTCTTGAACCACAATTTAACAGAATCCTTGATTAGTGGCTAGTGAGTAGCACAGGCATTGTAATATTTGCAGGAGATTCCCACTAGTTAGTTGGCATTACAGTGTCATTTATACACAACACTCCATCTGTGAAAGGGATGGTGAAAATTATAATAAAAACATCCAGCAAAACCTAGGTTGCCTACACTTGCTTGCTTCAATTCCATTTCTCCAAATGGCAATAATCTTAGCCTAGTGGTAATGGATTAGTTTGAATGTATATGAATTCTTTAAGCATCAGTCATCTTATTGAAACAATTCTAAATATATCTAAGTTTACCTACCAGCTTTCAACTGAATCTTTGCCATGAATGCATGGGATTGATTGCTAGTCTGTACTAGAAGTATGTATATTAAGTATGTATGCTAACTGTTAAGTAGTATATAGTGATCTACTTAATTCTACAAATAACAATATAAATTTCCCATTGCCATATCCATATAACCTGATGCCATTTCTGTTTGAAAGTTAGGCCCACTAAGTACAATAAAATTTACCACCAAGTGATTTTTTTTAAAAACTACAACTGTGTTTTCTTCCCTTTTAGATCTTACAATCTAAATTACCAGTTGGTTTTTCCAAGTAGTGTTGTGACAGAATTAACAGAATGTGAATTTATTCATTTTAAAATATGTTATTTAGTATATTTTTTCCATTATAGAACTCAAGAAGAATATGTAAATTCTCAAGTAATATCCCATCCAGCATGTTTGACTGCAAGAAAACAATATCTTTTGGCCTCAGGGAATTTTTTGAAGTTCTGCCATTGTGTGTGTGTGTGTGTGTGTGTTTGTCTGTCTATGTATGCTGTGATTATATATACTTAAGTGCTTAGTGTTTTGTCTTTATAGTTTCATATTGCATTGATGATTTAAAATAATAAATCTAAAGCTATAGTAAATAGTATCTAATATTTCATCTGCATGGTTGGAATATACTGAATTTGAAACATAATAAGGTTTTCTTTCCATGTCTAAGCCAATACATTCCCTCCTCCCCATATCTCTCTCTCTCTCTCTCTCTCTCTCTCTCTCTCTCTCTGTGTGTGTGTGTGTGTGTGTGTGTGTGTGTGTGTGTGTGTGTGTGTGTCTTTATCTTATGTGGAATTTTAATCTAATAATTAAAATTCTAAATATTTTAGACTGTAGTCTTAATTTAGTATGCAAACAGAATCAAATAGACTAGATGTGAGCTGCTGCTGTTTGGGAGTAATTTGCAGCAGAATAAATCCAGTAACATTTTATGGGGAAATAAATACTGGAGTACTATACAGATTTATATAGAGGTTTTAAACATCTGACAACTATGACTTGGAATATATATATGACAGATATTGTTATTCTGCTGATTGATCCTCTTGAATTTGTTGGATAAAGTACTTTTTGAAAGCTAGCAAATATAATTGGATGAGAGCTGCTTTTTTTAGCTGAAGGAGATAAGGAATTATTAAAAATTCAAACATATAAAATGCAATTATACATTTTCAATAAATATTAATAAAATATTTAATGAACAATGTTGTATATTAAATATTATCACATGCTTCTTTAAAAGCCTGTAATTTTACATTGTAAGTTATTGCCAAAATAAAGCAAACTTCCTTTTTACACATCTGAAGAATCAACTGCCCGCAAAGAAGATTTACTCGTGGACTTTAAATCCAAAATACTTATCTATACAAAAATGGTAGTTGGATTTTAATACCCACTAGGTCATAACTATTCTTCCCATAGTTTAAGACATTTGTCTTGCCAGGCATGAAGTGAAGAAGCTCAGAACCAATATGCTATCATTTTCAAATCAAAAGGATTCATTTCGTTTCATAGAATTTATTCATATAACCTGCCTCTGCTTACTATAGTAGCTTTTATTTTTTAAAAAAAAAAAAGCTAAAATTGATCTCAACAAATTATCAATTAATTTTGTTGCTATTTCTGATCTCATTCCTAGACCTAAGCTTCCACTGCATAGTTATCAAATAGTTAACACTGGTATAATCTATAATTTGAAAGTTAAGCATTGACTTTGGAAAACACTATGATAAGTTTTAAAGTTATTCAGTAATGTTAATTTTTGAAATTTATTTCAAGTGTTTAAACTTGAAATAAATTGAAAAAGTTTCAGTAATAAAGTATAATCATGCAATTAAAATTATTTAAAATGAGGGACCCTATATATTTTAAAATCTTCTATTTATAGGATTTGTCAGTTTCTGGCGTGGCAATCTTGCCAATGTTATCCGATATTTTCCAACTCAAGCCCTAAACTTTGCCTTTAAGGACAAATACAAACAGATTTTCATGTCTGGAGTAGATAAAGATACACAGGTAAGTCTGATTTAATATAGATTTATTCCAAAAGTTTTCCCTTGTTTTAATCTTAAGTACTGGAAATGTGGGTATTCTTTTGGATGATTATAGGCATTGTATAGAACAGGGGTGTCAAATTGCTGGCCAATGGGCCGATTGCATCATGCAGAGGCCGCGCCCACCCCAGTTCCGGCAATGTGAAAAAAGTTGTGATATGTCGTGACACGTCATATGATGCAGCAAGTTTGACAACCCGTGTTATAGAAGACATTGGCTGGATTTTGTTGTTGGCTATTACTGTTGTAAGCATCTCCTGAGTTAATTAACACTTACGAGTCAAGCCCACCTGTGATTGTCTTTTCCTGCAGCCCTTTGTGCCAACCAAATACCTTTGTTGAAGGATCCCTTGAAACTATAGAGAAGGGTCATAGTAGGAAAGGAGAACTATTGAAAGTTAATTGTATTCCTATCATCAGCAGGATTCTCCACTGGATTTGAACCTAGCTTCTTTTTGTGGAATCCTGCTTAGGATTCAAACCATTGACTTTTGCATAAAAATGCAAAATATATTTAATGAAGGATTAATTCAATGGTTACATGAGGAAATGCTGAGGCTTATTGCTTGTAATGCCTCCACTTAAGACCCAATATTTATTTTTTCAGTGTTCTACTATTTGTTGTATTAAGGCAGCAATACTCAACTTAATCATTTCTAGATGTGTTGAAATGTCAACAAGCTAGAAATCCCAGATAGCATACTTGCTGACCACTTGAAAATGAAGGAAGGAAATTTGTGAGAAAGTATGTAGGCATGAGTATTCCCCCCAAAAAAAGGGGGGTCAGAATTTCAGTTAGTCTTATGCAATCTCATAACTTGAAATGTTTATGCTGTGACATCATCCCAGCCCAGGTTGTAAATTCCAACAACTGTAGTCCAAATTTATCTGGAAAGTATTTGCTTTGGCTAGGTCAGGGGTAGGCAACCCCTGGGCTAGGTTACATTAAGCAAACAAATTTCAGCATTATCTAATCGTTTGAAACCTGACTGATCAATCACTTGAAGGTATGGATGCTTTTAAAAATAATTATCTGCAGTAATATAGATTATTGGCTGTTGCTTCCCCTATAACAGTGATGGCAAACCTTTTAGAGACCAAGTGCCCAAACTGCAACCCAAAACCCACTTATTCATCATCAGGTGCCGGGTGGGTGTGGCCCATTGGGTGGGCGTTGCTGTGGTGGTAACGGCAGACTGGGTGGGACTAAAAAGTTCAATCAATCAATTTCAACTTTGCAAGATCTTTTTTTTCCCTGCAAGAAGTTGAAATTGACTGATTGGTTGAACCTTTTTTTTTTTTTTTTTGCATACGGCGGCGGACGCCTAAAGCAAAAAGGTTTTATAAAACCCAGCTGAAGGGCTACGACTGGGGTGACAGCGCGCATGCCCACAGAGAGGGCTCTGAGTGCCACCACTGCCCTATACTGTCTTTTCAATCTGTAAATATTTAAATGAATATATTTCGAAAAGGCACTTAACAATTAACACCATTCCATTCCTTAGGAAGTAATAATAAAAATAAATAATTTTAATCTACTGTACAATTGTGCAGTACAATAGTGGAAAGTAATTTGCTTTCCAAATATTTTAGATTCATTTTAATGTAATTAATTAATGTAATGTAATTGTAAACCACTGGGAATCTTGATTAAATTATGCTGATATAAATACAGTAAATAAATTCTTAGTTATTTTTTAAAAGTTATATGGTGGAGAATAGAGAGAAAGTATACAAAGTTTTATATCTATTGAGCTCGTCAATCTTTGAGGAAAGGATGTTTTAAAAAAGACATATATTTATTTACATAAGTGCCCCAAATGTATGAATAAGATTAATGTCATGGAGAATTAAAACTTCCTTTCACCAGCAGGCAATTTGTCTACATTTATTTTAATATCTTCTGAATTAGCAAATACCTATTTCACATTTAAGGTTCTTTTATTTATGAGCACTTGCAAATGACCTTATTTAGTCTTCCGTATTTTATATTACATGTTCATCTTCTGTCAACTTGAGACAAGTTAATTCTTGAATTACAGATAATCCCCGAGTTAGGAACGCTCGTTGAAAGTTACATGATGAGCGCCCCCTAATGTTTACAAGCAACTCCCGAAATTATGAGTATTGTAGCACCAAAGCAGTCGTTTGTCCTTACGAGCGACCGGAGTGGCTCTGCAACACTCATCCGGGTTATTCCCTCCCTCCCCGTCCCCACTGCAGGTTTACTTAGGCAGCAGGCCTTCAGGACTCACCCTGCGAAGATGCAGAATCTTCACTTTGGCTGCTCTAGGCCTTCAGTGCATTTGCAGAGAATGGAGGCCTAAAATAACGCAAGATGATGCGAGATCAGTGGAGTGAGATCTCACACTACTGTTCTCACATGATCTCATGCAACAGAGAAGCAAACCAAAGCTGGGGGACGCTTTGATGTGCCTCCGGACGCTGGATCGGGCTCCAGAGGCCTGAAAAAGGCCTCTGCTGCCCGAATCTATGGCTGCAGAGGTTGGAAAAGGCCTTCAGAGCCCGGATTGGGCTGCAGGGGGGCATAAAATTGCTCTGTGGCCATTGATCCAGGCTCTGGAAGCTCGGAAAAGGCCTCCAGAGCCCAGATTGGGTCACCAGGGTCGCAAAGTCTTTCCACAGCCATGGATCTGGGCTCTGGAGGCTTGGAAAAGTTTTCTGGAGCCCAGATTGGGCTGCTGGGGGGCTGCGAAATCTCTCTGCAGCCATCAATCCAGGCTCCGGAGGCCTTGGCCTCTGGAGCCCAGATCGGGACACGGGGGGCTGTGGACGTGTCCCCTGGCCTCAGATTGGAGCAGTAGCAGGAACTGCGGCAGAGAGGAGACAGACCTTTTCCAGGTGAGTCCCACGTGGCAGGAAGGGAGGGGGAAACATGAGGTATCTTAATGGGTTGGGGGGCCTTGGGGCCCTGTTCCATCACTAGGCCCTCCATGGCCTTCGCCACCCTGAGATATTTCATGTTTACTTAATAAGCCGTGTCCGTTTTAACGAGCAAGAGAGTGATCTCGCTAAAGGAACGAGATTCACTCTACGAGTTTTTGAGTTACAAGTGGAATGGGCAGGCTCCATTACACTCGTACCTCGAGGACTGCATTATGCTAAAGAACGTGATATTTTTTTTAAAATACCTTGTGGCGCCGTCTCTTTCCAGTGAACAGAACTCTTGATTCCTATATGAACATGCCCATGCTATTTTCTTGGCAACAACACAGAAGCAATTTATCATTGACTTCTTACAAAATGCTTTTCTGATTTCTCAGCCCTTAGTTTTCTCTTGATCTCAGATTTAAGTACAGGCAGAGCTTACACTGCTTAGCTTTTGAGATCAGCCAAGTTGCCATTTACTCCATAATATAAGAATGAAAACTAAAATAACTAAGCTTCAGTGCATAAATAAAATCACTGAACACTATATTTTAACAAAATATATGTATAATTGCAAAACTACCACACTCATTTGAATTAAATAACAGTTGTCTTGTTTAACAGCATAAATGAAATGTACATTTGAATCTAAATTGTAAACACAGTACTTTTCAAAAATGTTAATTAGTAATACTTCAAAACAAGTAAACAACTAGATTACTTACACTTTAATACATAAGGTTCAGGATGGTTTCTTTAAGAAAATGTGTTATAAGGTAAAAGCCGTGTTACCTACACTCCAAATTATTTTGGGCACCATTTTCTATTTATAGCAATTGACATAGATTGGAGTGAGAGGATATTGTGAGTATGTATAATTAGTAATTTTGCCATCCAAACTCCCTAAAAAATTGGTAATTTGCTTTTATTAGTATTTGATCATATATAAAATCAATGTCATCTCAACATTAGTTTACAATAGTTGAGATATTCATCAGGAAAAAAAGAGCTTGAAGGCAACTTTGATTTTGAACAGAGCACACTATTTCTATTACAGTTTATGAGATGGTTCATTTCAAATCTGGCTGCTGGTGGAGCAGCTGGGGCTACTTCATTGTGTGTAGTATATCCACTAGACTTTGCACGAACTCGATTGGGTGCTGACATTGGCAAAGGTAAGGTGCTACATATTAAAAATATTTTAAAGATGTGCTCACCTGGCTATTTTAATTTCTATATGCTCTACTATCAATATTCAAGACATAATCAAAACTTGTATTTTAAACTTTGAATTGTTTGTACACAAAGCTTATTAGATAAAGCACATTTAGCTTTTACTTTCTTCAACAACCAATAGATATCTCTAAGAAGTTCACAACTATGCATTATGTTTAATATTTTCCTACTATTAAGCATTCTGTGACAAATTGCTCTGGACTTGGAGATTCCGTGGAATAATCTATTTACTATATTAAATTTGGATGACTTAGTGCCAAGTCACTTTAAAAATGAAAGATATTATCCAAATATAAATTAGTTGCCTCATTTACACATTATGTAAAATATTATAGGATATTTGTTTTTAGTTTACCATGGCATGTTAACTCATTCTAAGAAAAAAAACAACATGATTAATTTGGGGATAGGTGGTTTGAATTTGTTTTATGGCTTGTTTCATTTTGTATTATTAGATCTGAACAATAAATGGGATTGAGTGGTTGTGGAAAGAGTGATTATCGAACCTGGTTTGGTTTGGTTTGGTTTAAGGCTTGGTGTTCTTCCAATCATTGGTATTCTTTTTTTCTTTTATCTGTAATCTACCTTGAAGTTGGTTGTCCTTTAAATTGGATTAAATAAATAAATAAATTCTGAATTACCTCTGATTTGTTTTTGTGCTCAACATGTTTCCTCTGGAAATTGGCAGAACAGATGGAATAAACAAACCACAAATTGACCAAACAAATTATAGTTACTTGATTCATCTACAAAATTAACTCTGATTTGTCATCATATTTTGCAATCTGTCCAGATAGAGACAGAAACATCTACTGAGAAAATTGTTTACAAAATGTTTTTACTTATGTTTCAAGTATTTTAACATGTTTTTGAAAACTTGCTTTTTTTACTTCATTTTTAAGGTCCCTCCGAGAGACAATTCAGAGGTCTAGCTGATTGTATTATTAAAATTGCCAGAAAAGATGGAATTACTGGTCTATACCAAGGATTTAGTGTTTCAGTACAGGGAATTATTGTATATCGGGCATCTTATTTTGGATGTTATGACACCATAAAAGTAAGTTTTTTGAACTTTTTTCCCAAAAATATTGAGTATTGATATGCTATATTTATTATACATGTTTTATATCATAATTTATGTAAAATATACAGCCTTATTTTATTCCTTTGCCACCCTGGAGTCAATCTGTTCCACATGTTCAATCTAGTTCTACATGAGATATTCTACATTCCTATTTTCTAAGAGAATTCAACAGCTTGATATATTGTAGTTGGCACAACTGAAAGACTTTCGATAATCAATCACATCTATTATCAATTATTCACATCTTGACTTCTTTTTCATTTTCTTTGGCTTTTTCGCTTATTCATGTTCCCCAGACCTTTCTAAAACCAGCTTGAATTTCTGATATTTCCCTTTGAGTATATGATCTAAACTATGTTGAAGAATCATAAGCATTATTTTGCTAAGTAAGGATATTATGTGATGGTTTGCAGGTTTTGTTAAATCTTTATTTGACATATGGTATGTAGACTAGCATCTTCCAATCTCTTAGTCTCTGGATTGTGGTCCATATTTTCTGGCATAGTTTAGTTAAAATTGGATTAATTCTTCCGCTGCTGCTTGTCATATTTCTGTAGATATTTTGTGATTTCCTCTAGCCTTTTGATTTGGTAACAATTGGAGAACTGATCTAACTTCTTCTGTTCTAGAGATTCTTCTAAGGCAGGGGTTTCCAACCGGGGGTACGAGACAATATTCTAGGGGGTGAGAAAACTTGGGTTTTCAAAATTATAGTGTATATGCATAATTCGTTGCTGTTATTTCAAACTTTTGTAAGGAATCCCAAAATATATCAGAAGCATTTCTAGGGGTGTGTGGTATAGAAATTGATTCAACCTTTATAAGCGAAATCAGATTCAGAAACGTAGAGAACTTGAAGATGAAATTAAACTAAAAGAAAGGGCTTTGATTCTAAATCCTTCTGATGAAAGTACTAAAGAATCTGTAAAGTTATTAAGGTCACAATTTAATATGTTGATAGCAGATCAAGCTGCAACCAATTTATTATTTATGAAACAAAATACATTTTGTAATGCTAATAAGCCGGGGAGATGGTTGGCTTATCAATTAAGAAAGAAACAGAGACTGAGAATAATAGAGAAAATAAATTATAAGGGTAAACTAGTTTCTCAGAAGGAATTAATTAAAAAATCTTTTTTGGATTATTATCAAAACCTATACAAATCTACTAATGTACAACTGTTAGATATAAATAAATATTTAGCTGAGGCAAGTTTTCCTAAACTGACTGAGGATCAGAAATATGAAATTAATGGTTTAATCACTAAGGAGGAAATCGCCTCAGCAATTCAACAATTGAAATTAGGGAAAGCACCGGGTACGGATGGGTTAACAGCTGTTTATTATAAAGCCTTAATGGAGGAGATGATTCAACCATTAAATGATCTTTTTAATGGTATCCTACAGGGTTTAGAGATTCCTCCTTCATGGCGTAGTGCTTTTATATCATTGATTCCAAAGGAGGATCAAGATCTTACTTTACCAAAAAACTATAGGCCTATATCTCTTTTAAACGTGGATTATAAGATATTTGTAAAAATTTTGGTAAATAGGCTTATGAGGGTGGTGCATCATCTTGTGCATAAAGATCAATCAGGGTTTATAACAGGAAGGTATATGAAAAACAATGTTAGACAAATTATTAATTTATTAGAATACTTAGATAAGAACAACCAAGTTCCTGCAGGGCTCATATTTTTAGATGCTGAAAAAGCATTTGACCAACTGAATTGGCATTTTATGCTAAGAGTAATGGAAGAAATGAATTTTGGTGAAAACATATTACAAGCCCTTAAGGTAATATATCAAAAACAAACAGCACAACTTATTGTTAATGGAGGTTTGTCGGAGGTTTTCACAATAGAGAAAGGTACTAGACAGGGGTGTCCTTTATCGCCATTGTTGTTTGTTTTAACATTGGAAATATTATTGATTAAAATTCGAGAGTCTCAGGAAATTAAAGGAATATATGTTAATAAAAAAGAATATAAGTTGAGAGCTTTTGCGGATGACTTGGTTGTTACTTTGTCGCAACCTGATTATTCTGTAGTAAACTTATTACAGTTGATTCACCATTATGGTTTGGTCTCGGGTTTTAAGATTAATGTAAATAAGACTAAAATTTTACCTAAAAATATGTCGAGTCAGGAGAAGCAGATTTTGGTTAACTCGACGGGTTTTGAGATTGTTAATAAGGTAAAATATTTGGGGGTGATGCTGTCTGTTTCTAATGCAAAATTATTTAAAAATAATTATGAAAGGTTGTGGGTCGGGGTACAGAAAGACTTGAAGAACTGGGAAAAGCTGCAATTATCCCTCATGGGAAGAATTGCAGTGATAAAAATGAATATTCTACCCAAGTTTCTTTTTTTGTTTCAAATGTTACCAATTTTGAAAAATGAGATTAATTTAAATGAGTGGCAGAAGGGTCTCAATAAATTTATTTGGGCAGGGAAAAAACCAAGGGTTAAGTTCAAAATTATGCAAGACTTCCGTGAGAGGGGTGGACTCAAGGTACCAAATTTGAAATTATATTATGATGCGGTGGTTTTAACATTAATTAGTGACTGGGTAAATTTGACAAATTCTGAGATACTTTATCTAGAGGGATGGGATTTACTTTATGGGTGGCATGCCTATTTAATATTTAATAAAAAAATAGATTGGGCTTTTAAATCTCATATTTTAAGAATTTCTTTACTTAGGATTTGGAGAAAATATTATAAAAGTGATTTTAAAGTACCATTATGGGCTATACCTTGGCATGCGATAGAAGGAATAAAAAGAGGGGTTAAAATGGATATGGTGTCTTACAGACAGTTACTTAAATGGGATGGACAAAACTGGCAATTAAAATCACGGGAAGAATTAGCACAAGAAAATTTTACTTATTCTTGGTTCCAATATAGGCAACTACTAGATAGATGGAAGATGGATTGTAAGGTGGGTTTTCTTAGAGAAGATGAAAATCTTATTAAGCAACTGAAGGATCAAAGACAAACCCACATTAAGAGAATTTATGGGGTTTTAGTTGAATTGGACTCAGAAACGGAACTAATTAAAGATTGTATGATTAGATGGGCGCAGAACTTTGGTGAGCCAGTTTCATTGGACACCTGGGAAACTATTTGGGTGAGAAATGTCAAATTTACTCAAGCACAGAATCTAAGGGAGAATTTTTATAAAATGTTTTATAGATGGCACCTTGATCCACAAAAAATGTCTTACATGTACCCTGACGTGCAACCTAAATGCTGGAGATGTGGTTACAAGGAGGCTTCCTATTATCATATTTGGTGGTCATGCAGAGAGATAAAAGCATTTTGGATCAAAATATGGTGGAATATCCAGAGAATTTTTAGAAGGAGGGTAAAATTCACTCCGCAATTATTTTTGTTAGGTATTGTTACAGATTGTGATACAAAGGAGGTTGTATTGATGTTAAACTTGATCACAGCCGCGAGGCTGTTAGTTGGACAATATTGGAAGAAGGAATCTTTGCCTACATTGCAGGAATGGTTTTTTAAAGTAGCTTATCTGGCGGAAATGGCAAAGATTTCGGCTTTCTTAAAGCAACAAACGCAAGAGAAGTTTTTTGCTATCTGGGACAAATGGATAAAATTTATACAATTTAGATTGGGTATACAAAAATATTATATAGCCTTTTCATAAGTTTTATTTTTATATATATTATAGATATCTTTTTTATATATATAAATATAGAGTTTTTAATTTAATTTTTATTTTTTTTTTATTATTTCTTAAGCCTATATTCTGCTCTGGGAAGCTCAGGGGGGGGGAAGGGAGGGTTTTTGGGAGGGGTGTGGGGTGGGGTTTTTTTTTATATGTATTGTTTATTTTTTTTTCTCTTTTGTATATGTTGTTTTTTGTTCTGTATTGTTCTTGTTTTTTTTGTAAAATTTATAAAACTTTTAATAAAAAAAAAAAAAAAGAAGAAATTGATTCAACCTTTAAAATTACTCTTGATGAATATTTATTTTTTTACCTAAATTAATTGGCAAGATTATTGCATTTGGATAAATGTGATTATAGATTTGGCCTCACCAGTGGACCACAGTTTACCATCTGGGCATCTAGTTATATTGCGTCTTAATTGTTTATATGAAATATTCTTCCAGTTTAATTTGTCTGATACTCTAGTCTAAAACAGGGGTGTCAAACTTAATTTTGTTGTGGGCCGCATCAGCATTATGGTTGTCCTCAAAGGATCAGTTGCTGTCCTTTTCTCTTCCTCAGGCTTGCCCCACAGAAGCCTATCCTATCCTGTCCCCTTCTCTCTCTCAGGTTTGCCCCACTGACATCTTTCCTCTTCTCACTATTGCCTTCTCTCCCCCTCACTCCTCCTTCCCGCCGAAACCCCTCCCTTTATATCTCTCCTCCCCCATGCATTCACTCACTGCCCAGCTTGCCTTTTTTTGCAGCGCTCATCAGCTGGAGCTGCATGCACTGATTCTGGGGTCCCCACCAAGCACCGGAAGTCTAGCAGCTCCAGCTGACTCTTTCCCTGAAGACTGCGTGCAGCTGCCGGCCACCCCCTTGGCCGCCAGAAGCCTCAATCAGCTGGAGCTACGCATGCTGATCCTGGGGCCTCAGCAGAATCCCAGCAATACCGCAGTTCCAGCTAACTTTCCCCTAGGCCTCTTTGGTACTGCTCTCGCTTCAGCTCCCTCCCTTCCCCCCCCCACACTACATAATCACCTCCTACTAGTAGTTTGCTTGCAGGCCAGATCTAAACACATCATGGGCCAGATCTGGCCTGTGGGCCTTGAGTTTGACATGTGTACTCTAAAACATAAGATGAAAAATATTGTAAATTACTTCAATAATGTAAAATGATTCATCAAAATATTCTGAACAGATAGAAAATTTTTCTATGGAAAAAGTTCATTCATTCATGACTTCATTCATGCTTAAATTTGAAGACAAGTCAATGACTAATTTTTCTTTTCACTTCTTAGGGAATGCTACCAAATCCTAAAGAAACCCCATTCATTTTATCTTTTGCAATTGCTCAAGTGGTGACAGTATTTTCTGGGATTCTCTCGTATCCATTTGACACTGTCAGAAGACGTATGATGATGCAGGTAAGCAGTCCATCTAGAAAACATGTGAGTGTCCTTGTGACTGTCTGGGCTACATCGTTCTGTTTTGATACTACTTGTTTCATATCTCTCTTCTTTAATCAGAAAATGTGATTTTAGAATATAATGCTGAATCAAGCCACTGGCCTAACTCCATATTGTCTAGTTATTTGAGCAACAGTTCTTCAGAATCTCAGCTAGTAATCTTTTCTACACATACAGAGATTCTGGAACCTTCTACAAGCAAGTATTCTGTTATTAAGTAGCCTCTGTATAAGAGATACCCATTGGTTTATACCCTGCATGCAATTACAATTTCAAATGGGGATATTGGTATTTATAACTAACTAGGATTTCTAGACAATTTTGACATAGTTAACATTGAAATTGCAAAATAAAATATGATGTTCTGTCATGTGTTGTATTCAATTATGTTGGCAGTTATTAGATTCTTTATCAACAGTGTTGGGATAAAAGCAATAGGAGTAAACATTAGCAAATAATACATGTTATTGAATTGGTAAATTCTGTCCTCAATATTTTTTGTATATGTTTGAAATATTTGAAAGGGGGACTAAGCTAGTATGCAAGAGAAGGAAATTAAGGATATATATGTATATGTATTTTGCATGAATGATTCATAATACATAAATACATAAATTTTGATGAAATCTGTTTTTGTAAAAGAAAAAAGAACAGGACTGTCTTTTTTAGTTTATTTATTTACTATAGAGCCAACATTTAAAACATCTTAATATATGTTGTAGAATTATAATCACCTGGTGCAAAATCATAGAACATAGAATGACAGAGTTGGAAGGGACCTGGAGGTCATCTAATCCAACCCCCAGCTCGAGCAGGAGAGTCTATACTATTTCAGACAAGTGGCTGTCCAGTCTCTTCTTAAAAGCTTCCAGTAATGGGGCACCCACAAGTTCTGAAGACAAGCCATTCCACTGGTTGATTGTTGTCTCCATTAGGAAATTTCTCCTTAGTTCTCGGTTGCTCCTCTCCTTGATTAGTTCCTATCCATTGGTTCTTGTCTTGCCTTCTGGTTCTTTGGAAAATAGGTTGACTCTATCTTCTTTGTGGCAGCCCCTCAAATAATTGCATTTATATCAACAGAAATTTATGAGAATCTATAATTCAAACAGTCAGTCTCAGACTGATATTTACTGATAATGAGAAACCTTAGAGTGCAGATTCAGTAAAGAACATTGCACCAAAACCTGACATTTAAAAACTAGCAATCTTTAAAATATCATTTGAAGTGACCTCATTTAAGTCTGAAGTTTACAGGAAACTTTATGGGAAAATCATTTTAAGCGTAATAGCAGAGACCTACATCAGGAAAATATTTCCTCCTTAAGTTCTTAGCAGTGGCAACGTTTGAGGTAGTATAGCTATAATTTGGTAAAACAAATATTACAGAATAATTATTTACTATATATCAAATGTATATAGTTTGCACTAACTCTGGTTATATTCGAATGTTTTTTGAATTCAGAGTGGAGAGACTGAACGTCAGTATAAAGGAACTATTGACTGCTTTATCAAGATATATGGCCAGGAAGGAATAAAGGCCTTTTTTCGTGGGGCTTTTTCAAATGTTCTTCGTGGGACAGGAGGTGCCTTGGTGCTAGTCCTTTATGACAAAATCAAGGAATTTCTTCATATTGATCCTTCAATAGGCCAAGCATCTGACTAAAGGCACTAATAATCTATTTTACTTGCGCTGCCCATGTAGAGATAAAAGTCTTATTGTTTTGAATATTGGTTTACTATTTAGTATTCTACTTTGTAACAAGTCAATAGTATTTAATGTTATGATTTTAAAGCAATTTAAAGATTACATTTACTTAACTTTTACTTTCAAAAGACTTCTGCCTATTATTTCATTTTCCTTGAGTCATTCATTGTCTTTACCTTCAAAATCAAGATACCTGGATTTCATCTTGAAGACAAGCGATTCTTTAGGAGGGAGAGAGAAACATTGAATTGCCTAGTCAAAGATGTATATCATAGTTGATAAATGAGCTTGGACTGGAATCCAGTTTGCTCCAATCCAAACCCAGTAGTTTACTTTAGAGTTTAAACTTTTTTTATTAGCAAGAAATAAGAGCTTTTCCATGCAAGGCTAAACAAAATTTAGACAGCTTATAGCCCCAGTTAGTGCAAATTTATTCAGATTATTTTGTTCAACAGTTTGAATTAAGGGTGTCTTGGAATGAATGTACTGTAATGTTCTGCAGCAAAGTAATAATAAGAGTTTCTTGCTAGGAAACTGTTTTCTTAATCTTTTCCAGTATCACAGAAGTAAAAAAAAAAAAAAAAGTGTATTGAAGCAAAAACTGGGCAGGTAAAGGAATCTAATATTATGTAAGAATCTCAGTTATGTCTTTCCAAAGCAATAAATTAACTCTGTGTATAAAAGTCATTAGTGTAAAACAGGAGATTATAATCTCTAAATCTATTATTCTTTAATGATTTTGTTAATAGGATATACATTGTAGAAATGAAAGCCACAGTGTGCCTTTTGTCAGGTGATTTACAACAGAGAGCAGTAAAATGTAATAAACAGAGAAAAAGACAGTAAATCAGAACAAAAGAGAGAAAGCGAATATTAAAATCTAAAAACCATAGGCAAGGAAATTAAAAGGATTATTCTCTGTTAAGAATCTACTAGTAAATCTATAAGGCTATTGAAAAAGAATGTATTTCACCAATGCTAAAAAAAGGTTTCTGAGCAGATAAAAAGAAATCTGCAGAGAAAGCTTGTTGTCACCAAAGTTATCTTTTCAGTAACATCCTGCTTAATGTCCATTTATGCTGGTCTCAAAAAAAGGGTATTCAGAAGATTTTATGAAAAGAATAAAGAACATTGTTTAAGTAGTTAACTGAGCCTCTAAAGTTTAAAACTTAAAACATTTAAAATCTGTTGATGATATACTCATTCAACAAAATAACTTACTGTTAACTTCTGCACCAGATTTTTCAGAAGCAAGTATCTGGAAAAAATTAGCCTGGATATTAATAGAATAGATTAATTGAATCAGACTTGATGAGAGAATTGCCAGAAAAGATTCCTTAAATTCTTAGCCAAATATTAGGAAATAATATTAATTTGGTCAATTTCATCCACACGTTTTAGTAAACTCCCTTATGTAGAGTTTAATAATGTAGGAAAATTATATAGATCCAAATAATCAGGCTAAGCATTACCTCTATATCAAATAGGGAGAATAATATTGCAGAACTCACTTTAATAAGGGCTGGGATTGTTTTCTCCTAAATTTAGTATGAAAAATTATGTAGCATTATAACTGGGATGTCTGATTTCTAATTTCAACATCAAATAGGATGGCAATGAGGAAAGAAAATCTTGATTGTTTGATAGATAGAAAAGTCATATACGCCAGTCAACAAGCTTAAAGAAAATCTTCATGCATCACTTGCATTCTCAAATATCAAATGCCATAATAACACGCTCACTTGCTCCCTGAAAGTATGCTTGAGGAAGAGCTGTAGAGGAACTTTTGTCAACCACAACAGCTGAAGAATCAGCTTTGAAGTGCTTTGAAGTCAGTTTTTGAAACTGTGGCCACAGGGTATCTTCAGGGAAGATAGTTTACAAACAAGTACTTCTATTAAATTGGTTACAAGCAGCATCTTGCTGGTGCCATATTAGAAATAAGCAACACTGTGAGACAGTAATTGATTGATTTGAAAAAATAACAACTTCACCCTTAACCAGGCAGAGATATCACAAACTTGATGTTAAAATGTATTCACAAATAAACAATGTGCTTGATTTACACAATAATCTTAATTATAATAATCCATGGATTATAGATTACAGTAGCTATACACAATACACAATATGCTAAATCAGAATATATGTAGTTTTAATTTATTGTGTGTTAACCCTATGAATCTCTTGCTGCCAAAACCATAACTGGAAACTAAGGTTTGGTTCACACATTGCATTAAGTCATGGTTTGTTGAATAAAATCAATTGTTGGATTTTGTGCTACATCTTTTTATATGACAAAGGACTGTATTCACATACAGTAAAATACTCTTTTTATTCCAAACTTTCTTAAAAGAAATAATTGATTGGTTTTATATATAGTCCTCACTTAACAAAAGTATAATAATAATAATTTTTATTTTGCGGTCACAGACCAAAATGCAAGTGCAACAAAAGAAAACACAAGAAAAATATAATCACAATTAACACCAGAAGCCTTGGCTAAAGGGAATTACAACATTCTCCTCCAATGGTTACAGCTCTCAAAAGAAATTTAGAAACCTGAGAAGTAAGCTTAACAAAAGTAATTGGGACCAGAATTTTTGTCACTTAAGTTATGCAGTCGTATGCCGTTACACGACTGTTGCCTAGCAAAGGCAGTTCAGGCACGGATACATTTTTAAAATTCTTTAAGTATGTTAAGCACTTTATGCTACAAATAATTAAGAGTAAATTTTCTTTAAAAGTGAACTGCCAGTTCTAGGCTGTAGAAATCCAGATGTTGAATAATTTGAGAAGGGCAGCAAAAAATTAGATAGAATTTGCTATATCTCGTTGTGGCTCAGAAGTGATAGCCCCAGTAAATAAGAGCTTATTTCTTAGTAAACACAGGTTGGAGTGCAAGGGTCCAAAATGATGTATGTTCAGTTGGTATATGTCTCTCTAAGGTCCATCTTTTTCTGGATTAAGATTAAGATTTTGACTAAACCTTGACTCCTCCAAGTAGCATCATTCTTAGGGTATATGTATTCATTTAGGAAGAGGCAACATTTCTTCTGATGTTGGATATAGTGGGGCAAAAAAGTATTTAGTCAGCCACCAATTGTGCAAGTTCTCCCACTTAAAAAGATGAGAGAGGCCTGTAATTGTCATCATAGGTAGACCTCAACTATGAGAGACAAAATGAGAAAACAAATCCAGACAATCACATTGTCTGATTTGGAAAGAATTTATTTTCAAATTATGGTGGAAAATAAGTATGTGGTCAATATCAAAAGTTCATCTCAATACTTTGTTATATATCCTTTGCTTGCAATGACAGAGGTCAAACATTTTCTGTAAGTCTTCACAAGGTTGGCACACACTGTTGCTGGTATGTTGGCCCATTCCTCCATGAAGATCTCCTCTAGAGCAGTGATGTTTTGGGGCTGTCGCTGGGCAACACAGACTTTCAACTTCCTCCAAAGGTTTTCTACGGGGTTGAGATCTGGAGACTGGCTAGGCCACTCCAGGACCTTGAAATGCTTCTTACGAAGCCACTTCTTCGTTGCTCAGGCGGTGTGTTTGGGATCATTGTCATGCTGAAAGACCCAGCCACGTTTCATCTTCAATGCCCTTGCTGATGGAAGGAGGATTGCACTGAAAATCTCACGATACATGGCCCCATTCATTCTTTCCTGTACACCGATCAGTCGTCCTGGTCCCTTTGCAGAGAAATCAGTCGTCCTGGTCCCTTTGCCACCCCCATGCTTCACAGTAGGTATGGTGTTCTTTGGATGCAACTCAGCATTCTCCCTCCTCCAAACACGACAAGTTGTGTTTCTACCAAACAGTTCTACTTTGGTTTCATCTGACCATAGGACATTCTCCCAATCCTCTTCTGGATCATCCAAATGCTCTCTAGCAAACTTCAGACGGGCCGGGACATGTACTGGCTTAAGCAGGGGGACACGTCTGGCACTGCAGGATCTGAGTCCCTAGCGGCGTAGTGTGTTACTGATGGTTGCCTTTGTTATGTTGGTCCCAGCTCTCAGCAAGTCATTCGCTAGGTTTCCCCCCCCCCCCGTGTGGTTCTGGGATTTTTGCTCACTGTTCTTGTGATCATGTTGACCCCATGGGGTGAGATCTTGCGTGGAGCCCCAAATCGAGGGAGATTATCAGTGGTCTTGTATGTCTTCCATTTTCTAATTATTGCTCCCACAGTTGATTTCTTCACACCAAACTACTTGTTTATTGCAGATTCAGTCTTCCCAGCCTGGTACAGGTCTACAATTTTGTTTCTGGTGTCCTTCGACAGCTCTTTGGTCTTCACCATAGTGGAATTTGGAGTGTGACTGTTTGAGGTTGTGGGCAGGTGTCTTTTATACTGATAACAAGTTCAAACAGGTGCCATTAATACAGGTAATGAGTGGAGGACAGAGGAACTTCTTAAAGAAGAAGTGACAGGTCTGTGAGAGCCAGAAATCTTGCTTGTTTGTAGGTGAGCAAATACTTATTTTTCACCATAATTTGCAAATAAATTCTTTCCATATCAGACAATGTGATTGTCTGGATTTGTTTTCTCATTTTGTCTCTCATAGTTGAGATCTACCTATGATGACAATTACAGGGCTCTCTCATCTTTTTAAGTGGGAGAACTTGCACAATTGGTGCTGACTAAATACTTTTTTGCCCCACTGTATATTACACAACACAATTGAACAAACAATCCAGACAATGTAGATTTAATTGAATATGAAAATATTGCAAACTTGAACTAGTAATACAAAGAACTAGCACTTTAAATAAATCAAAAGTTGGATTCAGAGCCAAATGAAGGTAGTCTTCAAATTATAACAATTGGGACCAGAATTTCTGTTCCTAAGTGAAGCTGCTGTTAAGTGAATCACACTCAATTTTACAATAATTTTTGCTACAATTGTTAAATGTGGTTCAAGAACATGGAAGCATAACTTCAAACTGACAGGCGGGAAGTTCAAACGTAACAGTGTCAACGTCCAGCTCGAGAATCCAAATAAAACTCTAGGATCCAAGTTTCATCCTTGACAATTAGAAAGTATTACTTCACAGAAAGAGTAGTGGAAGCTTGGAATCTACTTCCAGCAGAGATAGAGGGTTAGTCAACTGTAGCTGAGTTTAAACATGCTTGGTATAAACGCATGTCTACCATCCAACAAAAATTAAAAATAAGTAATAAAATCAAAATAATAATTAAAATAATTAAAACAAAAACAGAAAAATTCAAAGAATAGACTCGGTGTACCACTGGATTTTTTTTTACCATCAGTTTTCTATGTTTATAAATGTGAACTGATTGCCAAGAGTCCAAATTATAAGCAAGTGTGGGGGGGGGGGAGTGACAATCCTAACTTTGAGGATGGGTCATAAGTCACTTTTTCCAAGGCTATTGCAACTTCATTAAATGAATGGTTATAAGTCAAAGACCACCTGTACACAAAAACAATTTCCATTTAGGAAAGCTATTTACTGCAAAGGATCAGAAAAACAGAATATGAAACAAACTCATTACTGACAGCTGTGGGTTATCAGCAGTAACAGCCTTCTGCCTATCCCCAGTCTATTTGCTCCACTACACAAAGGAAAGATGGCTGATAGGAGAATATTGTATTTTCGCAAAATAATTTGCACCAATTGCAGAGTTGCACCAATTGTGGAAACCTAGAGTACACATTAAAATACTGCAAGCCATGGTATTCCCATTGACACTCATTGGAAGCAAAAGTTGAACTTTGAAGAAGCTCAGGAAGAGTATTGATAAGATTGCCAACTTTTTTGCAATGAAAAGGAGGACACAAATAAATTGAAGAAAAAAATATCGTAAATAAAAGAAAGGTTTTATTCATTGCAACAATAATACAGACAACTTGTATGTGCAAAGTTTGCCAGTCGGGTGTTTTGGCGCGCTCAGCAGCAATTCCTATTGGCTTTTGAAAGCCAATAGTGGGAGTAGCACAGCTCATGCAAAAGTTGAAAAAAAAAAACATCAAAAAAGGTGCTGGAACAGTGTTCTGAGAGTTCTATGAGAAAAAAAAAGCCCTGCAAATTAGTCTTCAAATATTGAAAAGGGGGACATGTAGGAGGACACTTTTTGAGGGAGGACAGAACCTACAAAAGGAGGACTGTCCTCCCTAAAGGAGGACGGTTGGTCACCTTAGTATTGATATCTTTGAAATATGATGTTGGTGGAACACTCCTGAGAATATTGGGGACAGCCCAAAAAAGCCCTGAGGGACTATCAAACAAATCAATCCAGAATTCTCGCTTGAGGTCCACACCAACATACATTATCCTATTTCAGACATAGTATGCAAAGACTTATTTATTTATTTATAAAATTTATTATTAATTTTATATTATTAATTCCCTAGAGGAGACTGTAATGCTGAGAAAGGAAAGACAACCAAGCAGAAAAGTAGATTGACTCAGTTACAATGCACCACTGGCAGATTTGAAAGATCAGGCAAGAGACAGATTGCCCAGGAGAAAATCTATTTATGTGGTTACTAAGAATTGATATCAACTTGATAATACATAATTATCTGTCAGAGTACATATTCTGTACTGATGTCTTGTATATGCTCATCATTTACAAGATAATTGTTTCATTGTACTGTTTTTATTCTTTGTATATATTTTTTATTCTTTTGATTGTGAGCCAGCCAGTTTGATTTTAAGATGGGCAGCTATCCCAATTATTTATATTTTATTTCTTATTCTAACACCTGTACTGTTCATCTTCTTTAACAGTCTATTCTTTTGATGTTGATTTCATATTTCTTTCCTGGGTTCTATTCAATCGGGAACCGGGGATGTAAAATATACAAAGGAAGTAACGTATTTATAGGGTGTTAATCATTTTGGCTATATAACTGCAAACTGTCCCGTAAATTTCGCGCTTCTGTTCCGGGCCTCCGTGACGGTACTCCAGAAGAGGTCCTCCGAGGGCGAAAAGCCAGCAGCCGCAGTTCCGGACTTTGGCCCTTAGAGGGCGACGGAGACAAGCCTCTTTCGCACTCTTCTCACCTGGATTCCAGATCTTTCTCGAACTCCGGGAGGCTACCCGAGGACCCGCGGAAACTGCCGAAGTTCAAGTCGGAATTTCGCGGCGTCCTCGTATGGCAATCAGCCGCGCCTGCGCAGAGGAGAGAAAGTGCCGGTTGGCGGTTGTTGCTCCGCAGTGAGAGAACGAGCGAGCTACTCGCCGAGGTGCCGTCTCCCCGCCGCTAGCGCTGTCCCGCGAGGGCCCGCCGCGGTAACGCGGAGGGAGAGCTGAGGAAGAAAGCGGACCGCACCCGCCGCAGTCATGTCTGTGGTGGGCATCGACCTGGGCTTTCAGAACTGCTACATCGCGGTGGCGCGGAGAGGCGGCATCGAGACCATCGCCAATGAGTACAGCGACCGCTGCACACCGTGAGTCTTAGCCTTCCAACCGTGCTTTGGGCAACAGCCTCCTCTCCGGAGGGATTAACGGCGGCTCGTGCTCTTTCCGTTGGCTCCTTCCCTGCTAGCCTCATGAAACCTTTTAAGGAGCTTTCCCCCCTGGACCGGTGCTACTCCGCCTACCTGGAAATTATTAGGTTGGGGAAAGGCCGGTTAAATTAAAAAGCTCTCTCTCTCTCTGGATTATGAGCTGTCATCATAGTTTACAAACCCATAATAGGTGGGTTCACATAACATCCTAAAACATGGCTCATTGTCATGTATAAACTTGGAAAGAAGCTGCTATGTATCAGCGTGGATCCTGTACTAAGGGAGTTCGGTGTTGTCAAATTAACCGTTTCTCAGCTAGGTGTATTGAACTCCAACTCGTTCTTAACTGTCCTGCTACAAGCAGATTTATAATCACCAAATCTGGAAGATTGTTAGATTGAGATAAGACTAACTTTTCCAGAATTGTCTTGGTCAGTCTTAAAAAGGCCTGGAATTTTCTTGGCACTATTTTTCACACAAAACCTATGTCGTGCTGAATATCTGTTCTTATCAGTGCTGACATTATCCAGATATGTTAAAATTCCAACTTCCAGAATCCCTTTCCTGAATCAAATAGAGTTTTGGCAGCTTTGGATTGAAGAAATAACGTTTATCTCTTTTCCAAAAAGATTTTCTTCTTTTCACTTTAATAAGTTTGGGTTTAACAGTAAATTTCAGTTGATAGATTTGAAACTAATTCACCATGAGCTTTGGCTTTCATAAGAAAAGCCAACTTAAACATTTCTTTCTTATTTATTTAAACACATCCATTGTTGAGTTATTTTGTTCTACTGGTCTCATTTCTCATTTTAAAAATGAGAATTACACATCTAAAACATTGTAGGTCTGTTAAAAACTATGACAATAACTCCTATTATGAAGATTATGGTATCTACTAATCCCACATTATTGTTTTACTTTTGCCCATTGCCATTTTCTATCCATCCATCACAGTAGCATTGAAATAGAAGCGCTTTAAGTTTTTGCAAACAATTCCACCATAAGGCATTTTTTTCTGAATCTCAAAATAATTGTAACTGTCTCTTCACTTAAAAGTATTACGGTTGAGGGCAATTCAGGTCACAGTAATATGCACCATTTTTGCAGATTCAACCTTTGAAATAAGCATGCTAATGAGAACATACATAGGATGAAAGAAGTTTGCCCAGTATTTCATCTTTTCTATCTTGTAGCATTTTTCCTTTTGCCTGGCATGTTACTACTTGTTCTATTGCCTAACTATCAGGCATGGAGGGTGGTACCTGTGAAGAGATGATGTGTAGATGATTGTAGAGTAGATAGAACTTGTTCACACTTTCCTGCTTCCATGGGTTACAACCAGGAGTGTAAATGGGCAACATCTCTTTGTAGATTTAGCAGAATCGAAACTTTATATAATCAGAAGTACACAATTATTTGTTTTGTGTTCTTTGTTCCTTTGAAAAACAGTATTTGTCATTCCAAATGTTCCAACTATTATTTTCTTTAGTTAAATTTAACAAAAACTGATAATGAATTGGATATGCAAAAACATGGATTGTGTGTGCATGGGAGAGAATGAATGAATGAATGTATTTATGTATTTGTTGGATCAGTCCAAAATTCTTTTTGTTCTACTGCTATGTATTCCAAAAATCAAACAAGACTTCAAAATAACTTATCTTTTGCTCAGCCTTATCAATCTTTACTACTGGGAAGATGCTATTTTGCTACATCTGGAGGTTGATAGCTGTTTTATGCTCCTGGGATTTACAGTGTTGTATAAAGAAATAATAAGAATTTAACTTATTGCATTGAACTTTAGGATCTTGGATAATTGCAAACATTTTAAAATTCAATAATTCATGGTTATCCTTAAATCTAATTCAGTTAAAACATTTATTTTATGAGAACCCAGATTGTTGGAATCAATATGCTGACTCTAAACCACTTAGAGAGGGCTGCAAAGTACTATGAAGTGGTATATAAGTCTAAGTGATACTGCTATTGCTACTTATCAATGACTTACATTGCTGATTTTCATATATATCCTTGAAAATTCTACTTTCTGTATTGTCATTTTTGATTTTCTGAAGGTGAAAAAATATTAGTGAAATTAGATTTGCTTCTGCAAAGGGGCTGCTTATGATTCATGGTTGGGTTCTCTTCTCTGTAGATTTAGATTAGCGTCTTCCTTTACATCACCACTTTCCATTATTAAATATTATATTTGTTTTATATTGGTTTTTTAAAATCAAGCTCAACTTCTGTAGACAAACTTCCCAGTCTAGTTCACATGACTGAAATTTATGTATATCTATGCTTAATATATACCGGAATTTCAAACTCCTTTGTTCTGTTTTCAGATTGATGAGTCTTTCACAGCCCTATAGGTAACAATTTGATTTCTTCATGCACATTTATAGAGTATCTGTTGTATTTCAGAGCTTGTATATCTTTGGGATCCAAAGCCCGGACTATTGGAAATGCAGCAAAAAGCCAGGTAAACATAAGTTTATAACTTTTCAGTAAAAGTTATCATTTTATTCAGCAGCAGTTCTTTTTATCAAAAAATTTATTCACAAAACTCCTTTTAAATCAAAAGCATTGATAGTATTACCACCAGTGTACACTATGAACTTAAGTATTTATGTCTTGCATAAAATTTTATTTACAATACTAAGGAATTAGAAATGCATAATAAGAATGGAATATTTTTACTACTATTAAGTTAATAAAAGTATTGAAAAACTGTAAGATGAAAGGAATTTTAATATGAGCATGCAAAATTAATACCTTAATATTATTTGACAGATTATTACAAATATTAAGAATACGTTACATGGATTTAAAAAGCTGCATGGAAGAGCATTTAATGATCCCTTTATAAAGTCTGAGAAAGAAAAAGTGCCATATGAGCTTCAGAAATTACCTAATGGGAGTGTAGGAGTGAAGGTGAGCATGGTACCTTCTCTTTTGATGCCTACTATCAGAATATACAAAACAATAAATGTTAAGATCTGGTCCTTCTAACACAGCATTCCCCAATCTTTTCAGTTTTGTGGACTATCAAGGGGGAGAGGAAGAGGGAATGGTTAAGCATGGGCAACGAGTGAATGCACGCACAGCTCCATTTGCACACGCTCACCCATTGCTTCCGTGGCCCAGTTCTGAACAGGCCAAGGCCTGGTAGTGGGCCACAGCTGAGAGTTGGAGACCCCTGTTCTAACATATCTCACTAAATAGAGTTTGCTGATGGAAAAAATAAAACAAGTGTTACATCTCTGTCATTATGAGTGCCTACTATGTATTCTAGTTCATTATTAATTTAGGTGTTTTTTAAACTCTAGGTACGATATTTGGATGAAGAGAGATTATTTGCTATTGAACAAGTTACTGGTATGCTATTAGTTAAGCTTAAGGAGACATCAGAAAATGCACTTAAAAAGCCTGTAGCAGATTGTGTCATTTCCGTAAGTTTTTATAATGATATAGATACTTACAAAATAATAATGTTATATGAAATTTGGAGTGATTAGATCAGTGGTTCTCAACCTTTTTAATGCCGCGACCCCCAACAGGTCGTAAGTCGAGGACTACTCAACTGGTGCAGCACCGTTTGCAGAATGGGACTTTTGGTGGGCTCAGCAGGGCAGAGACAGCCTGGACAATTCCTATTGGCTTTTGAAAGAGAGTCTATTCAAGAGAGTCTATTCTATTGACTTTCAAAAGCCAATAGAATAAAAGTGAGTAGCACAGCTAAGGAAAAGGGGGAAAAAATGGCGGACTGCGTTGTTTGGCGACCCCCGTGAAATGGTCGTTTGACCCCAAATGGGGTCCCGACCCACAGGTTGAGAACCACTGGATTAGATTATAACATGTTCCTGGCAAGACAGTCCTATTATTTATTTGATTTGGTTTGTTGGCTGCTCATCTCGCAACTCTGGGCAGCTCACAATATTAAATTATAAGGTAATAAAGTTTTGTTTTCTAGAATATTCTTTTCTGATTTCTCAGTTACTGACAATGCTTGCAGAAATGTGTAAACAGTAAACAGTTGCATACATAGTAGACACTTGATAAGCTGAAGTTTGTCCAAATTCAGACATATAGGTTTAGGATGTTGATCACGTGCTGAAATAATTCACATTGTCCCCTTTCCCTCATTGTTTTGTGCCCAGCACATCGTGAAACTCACATATATTGTTGATAACATCATTTTGCAAGAAACCTAATTATTATATAATACATTAAGTTAATCTAAGTTGCTTAATTACTTATCAGCTTACATTTGTTGCAGGTAGAGGGCTTGTTTCAGGTAATCCTTGATTCATAACAGTTTATTTAGTGACAGTTCAAATGGCTCTGAAAAAACTGACTTATCACCATTTTTCACATTTACTACCATTACAGCATCCCCACGATCACATGATCAAAATTTCGATACTTGGCAACTGACTTATATTTATGATAGTTGCAGTGTCCCAGGATCACGTGATCATCTTTTGCAGCCTTCTGACACGAAAGTCAATGGGAAAGCCAGATTCACTTAATAACCATGTTACTAACTTGACTACAGTAATTCACTTAACAACTGTGACAAGAAAGGTTGTAAAATGGGGCAAAATTCACTCAACAAATATCTTGCTTAGTGCTAGAAATTTTGGGCTCAATGGTGGTTGCAAATCAAGAACTAACTATATATGTACAGGGCTATCCATGAACCATTTTTTGATATTGAAACGTAGACTGCTACTCAGGTCCCTTTCTCTTCCCAACCTGGCATTTTGTGAACAAGCAAAAGTTGAAAATAGGAAACATGTACAGGCAGAATATATGTCTCTCTGCAGCATTGAGATCTAATTTGATTCAGGGTCTCATAGAGCCATAAAATTATTCCAAATTAAAACTAATTAGAAAGATGAATATGGTGAAATTAATTTAATAGAAAATATTTTTCTACAGATCCCAAGCTTTTTTACTGATGCCGAGAGAAGGTCTGTTATAGCAGCAGTGCAAGTGGCAGGTTTAAATTGCTTGAGATTAATGAATGAAACTACAGCAGGTAAATTTATATTTTACTTGTTATAGCAGTTTTGCTTTTTAATCAAATTCAAATCAGAGTCAAAGTATATTACATAACAATCTAGTAAGATTATACAGTATACAATTAAATACTGAGGTACCTTACTCACAAATAAACTATTGTCCAGTATGAGTGGTTTCTACTAAAATAAGTATTGTAAATTCTTGGAGCAACATTAATGCATATCTATTCAGAAATCTATCCACCACAATAAATTCAATATGACTAATACCATATTTCTAGGATAACATTTAATAAACAAATATTCATATTGCTTTTGACTCCAAGGTAGAAAATTGGCTTTATTTGTGTAAGTAAATGAGATATTAATAATGTACCACAAATTATTTGATTTAAATATGTGCACTATTGTTTCCTCGCCATTTTTATAAAGAAAGATTGCAAGAGGAAAAGTTTTTAAGTTTTATGAGTAAGGCAAATTCTTCAAATTATGCCATTTTTAACTAAAAGTAATTTCAGTGAATTTGTAATGAATATCATTAGAACATAAGAGAAATGAATGTTTTGCAATAGCTTATAATTTGACAATATAAAAAGAAAAATAAATGGTATTTTGACTATTTTGGATCAGCCTTGAGATGTGAAAACTCCCTCAAACTTTATTAATAGAATACTGTATCTGATTTAATAAAATAATTTAGCAAATGTTGATTGCCAAGCACAAGGATAAAGGACTGGCAGGAAGAAAAAAACATTAAACCATTTTCCTTAAAAGAAATGGTTAAGTCAAAGTTTCAGAGTGCTTTAAAATGATCAAACAGTATTGTTTCCTTAAAGCTAATTGATTTCTTTTTTAAAAAAAAATACTTACATAGTGGTAAATTACCAAGATATGTGAAACTCTATTCCATCTTGAAATATTTCAGTGTTCCCCGTTCCATTTTTTTCCAAGCATATGAAATTTCAGTATATCGGATTGGTTTGTTATGTTCCAAAAGTAGTCAGAATAATAGTTTTGCACATAACTAGTTATAGTGCAGCCAATATTTTGAAGCTAATTTTTAATACTTTTTTACTTCATAGAATTTACTCTTTAATTCTTGCAGTTGCTTTAGCCTATGGAATTTATAAACAGGATCTACCAGCCCCAGAGGAGAGACCAAGGAATGTGGTTTTTGTAGACATGGGACATTCTGCCTACCAGATTTCTGTTTGTGCTTTTAACAAAGGAAAATTGAAGGTAAATTGTTGAAGCAACATATAAATAAGAAAGATAAAACAGGATAAAGAATAAGCTCAATCCCAAAATAAATATGAGCAATAACATACCAGAGAAAAAACTATATTGCCTTATAGCTGTGCTTGGAACTTTTTCTGATACAACAATAACAACAAAGTTCTTGAAAATGACTAAGTCAAGATCCTATGGGACTTTTGAATCCAAAAAGACATATGGCCCACAACACCCCTGACATCGCTATTGTGGAAAAGAAAAAAGTCTGGTTCATTCATATTGCAATAGCAGAATTGAATAGAAACAGCTAGAAAAAAATAACAAAATATTGTGATTTGCAAATTGAAGTTGAAGATTATGGAGGAAGAAATCAATGGTTGTACCAAGTAATAGGAGCCTTTGAAGCAATACCCAAAGGACTGCCTAGATAGATACATGGACATTTTGAACTTGTTAGACTTGAATATCCTGACTTTGCAAAACACCATCTTACTCGGAATTGCCTATATACTCAGACATTGCCTTAACACAGACATGTCAAACACAAGGCCCGGGGGCCGGATGCAGCCCGCGAAGGGGTTTCATGTGGCCCACGAAGCCATCCTGGAAACAGCCCTGGCCCAAGCCAGCCAGGAGCCAATGTACAATTTTGTGGTGGCCATCTTGGCACTTGCTCCGGTCCTACCCCCTTCTGCCAGAGACCCTCACATCTGTCCCACTCCTGCCCAGGCCCCTATAGGCAGCCTTGACGCGAATGATGTAGAACTGGGCATGCCCACCAGGAGGCCACACCTACTCCATCCACGCCCACTCAGTAGGCTGCACCCACTCTGGCCACACCCACCTGGCCCCCCCAGGGCAACCGCAATGCTAATGCTGCCCTCAGTGAAATTGAGTTTGACACCCCTGCCTAACAGCTCTTAGATCCTTGGTTAGGACTTGAACTGTTAAGTTTTTATCAGTCCCAGACTGAATCAAATTGAAAATTAATAATGATGATGATGATGATTCATGCACGGACACTGCATTAAGACTTTTTTCTTTATTGCTTTTACCATTCTTGTTGTGTTTAAATTCATAGGTACTTGCTACTACATTTGATCCCTTTTTGGGCGGTAGAAACTTTGATGATGCTTTAGTAGATCATTTCTGCGAAGAGTTCAGGATCAAATATAAACTTAACGTTAAGGACAATGGTCGAGCATTGCTACGATTATACCAGGAGTGTGAAAAACTGAAGAAGCTGATGAGTGCAAATACTTCTGATCTTCCAGTAAACATAGAATGCTTTATGAATGACATTGATGTCTCTAGCAAAATGAACAGGTATCATATTCAATGTATAAAGTGGGAATTATAACAATTTACTGTATATGCCTGAAATATTAATATTCTTTTCTCAAAATAGGGCTCAGTTTGAACAACTGTGTGCATCTCTTCTGGCCAGAGTAGAACCTCCTCTGAGAGCAGTGATGGAACAAGCTAGTAAGTAAATGCTGCAACATTATACAGTATTTAATATAAAGACTTCTTGCTACTGTAGGTCACACCTATCACATTGAATATTCTTCAATTATTTAATGTCTATAAAAATTGAAAAATAATATTTTGGTATTATAGAGTTGGGTATGTGTGATTCTATCAAGTACAGAAAAGAAGTTAAGAAGAGGGAAGAAAATAATTATCTAGATAGAAAAATGGCATCCACTCTAATAAGCAAGAAAGCAAACATGTTAGGGAAAACATGCAAATGTGGCTTCTAGAATTTTTTATCCGTGAATAATAGTTTTGCTCTGTGTCATGTGACAAAGAGGGAGGAAGGGTTCTAAGATTGCAGGAATTGGTAATATGTTGAGCAGCTGCCCAATTGCCTCTTCCCTAAGGGGAAAAATTGTGGATTTTTTTTTTAATGCTGTAGTTCCTGGTCTGATCCAGCCTATTTTTGAACTTGATCTTTCTTTTTTTCAGTTCTTCATACCAAATTTGATCCTGTTGTATTTAGTTTTCAGACTGTTATCATGCTAATAGACAAGCAGACTGACAGAGTCCTAACCCATATACATAATTTTGTTTCAATACTCTGTTGATTTGGAAAGAATAGAAAATGTGCTGGAAGGAAAATTCGATAGAAGATTGGGAAAGGAGAGCTAGACTGCACACCTACAGATTCAGATCTAACATTGAATAAGCCACCAAAATCATGAGTTGCAAGAAAAAAATTAAGTAACAGGTCCTTGGGATTCATAGACATTGTAGAGATTAGGATAGTGTAGTCATGTAGCTAGCAGAAAACCTATAGTAGAGGATGAAAACAATCAAAACTAAGAAAAAAGAAAACTACTTTATATTTTAAACTTGAATAGTCACTAGTTTACTCTAATTCATTTGTTGAATGGGAGTTCTCACTATCTGTATTGGGCCATCACTTAATGTACCATGTACCAGCAGAGCACATTGCTTTAATTTCTGGTTATATTGTATAAGTTTGGTATAAGACATCTGTGTATCCAGTTTCCAGATGACCATAAAGCTCATTTAATATACAGATGGTTCTTTTTTCCATTGATAATTGTTTAAGTGTAGGCTATCTGGATGAAGACAAGCATTTTCTCAGAAGTTCTTTAATTTTTTTTCTATTCCAATAATAATCATAATAGAAGTAGAAATCAGAGTAGATCAAAACAAGTGAATTGCATTAAAATGTTGCAGTGTGAAATGCTTCTTTTTTAGGATTCTACTTTCATTACAGTCTTCATTTTGCTCAAACAACCACTGAGCATTTCATGGCCATTGAACATATTTTTCTTCTATGAAACTGTTTTGAGGCTCCATCGTAGAGTTGCTTTATTTTTGTTAAAATATGCCCATTTCTACAGAAGTTGGGGTTCTCATAAACCTTCTTAGATTTTTGTTTTACTGGATATCAGAACATCAGAAATCCTAAGAACTTAGGATCTGTGGCTGAAAAACAAAAGTTAGTATTAGAGACAAGTGTATTCAATATATCTGCTTACCTTCCGTTTAATTACTCCTTTAGAGAGCAAAGGAAGGCATATAAACCATTTTTGGGGAGTCTTTTTGTCTTTTTTAATGAAATTGAACAGATCAAATAGCCTTTTGCCAGCTGCTAATCCTCACTGTCAATTTAGTACTATACACCAGGGATCCCCAACCATGGACCGGTGCGGCATGCCAAGTGGCTCTTTGAGTGTTTAAGGTTGCTGACCCCTGCATTATACCATACTTAATTTTGATATTTATTTAAATTATGTATCACTTCTGCTAGGTTCTGGGACCTAGCAGCTAGCTTCCTATGTTATATGTGGCATTAATATCTCACTGTGTTATTTTGGCATATTTATTTAATACTTACATTTAGAGCCCTATTACCTATAAGAACGGTAAGTACATTTTTAAAACAAAATTTCCACATGTATTTAGAAAAGAAGATTAAGTTTTAATGTTAACAGAGATATACAATGTATGGTAAAGAAACTTCTTCCATTCTTGCAGTCTCTCCAAGTAAATCCATTCCGTCTAAAACTGATTATATTTTTCATCCATAAAAACAAATAATCTCCTGTTTGTCTCCTAGAACTACAGCGTGAAGATATTTACAGTGTAGAAATAGTAGGTGGAGCAACTCGTATTCCAGCTGTGAAAGAACAGATTTGCAAATTTTTATGTAAAGAGATAAGTACTACATTAAATGCAGATGAAGCTGTTGCAAGGGGTTGTGCATTACAGGTGTGTTAATTGTTTTTCTGTTCAGTATTACTACTTAAATTTCTTTGGCTTTGCAAATTTATCAAAAGAAGCATGCTATAATTATATTAATCTTCGCATTAAGGTGTTGAAGGTAACACAGCTACTTAACTTATTTAACAAATTTTAACCTTTTTGTATTTTTAATTAATCATTTTGACTAATCCTGAATCTGTTCTCTGAAACAACTGAGCTCTGTTTGTGAGCAATGTTGCATCTCTTGTATGATTTTTCTGGTCACAAAAAAAGTTACTTGTCGTCTCTAAGAACATTGATTTTGCTACAGCAAATTTTCTTAGGCTTTATAATTGTGAAGTTAAAATGTAGTTGACTAGTACCTCATAAATAAAATAAATGTGTACCAGACACTTGTGAGTGATACTCCATTTCTTTTCTAGTGTGCAATTCTGTCCCCAGCATTTAAAGTCCGTGAATTTTCCATCACAGATGTTGTTCCTTATTCAATTACTCTGAGGTGGCAATCATCTTATGAGGAAGGAACAGGGTAAGAGTTTTGAGATTTAAAAATATGAAAGAATTAAGTAGATAATATATCTATAAACAAAAAGGCGTTCTCATTTCATCTTTTCTATGAATATGAAATTCATGCTCATTGAAGGATAAGAAGGCATATAACTATTGTGCATTGGGATAGAATAATTTTGAAGCTTAACTGTTTATTCTTCTAAGTTCTCAGAAGGATACAGACGTGAAAAAGAAAGTACATGCTCTTTGAGTTTTATGGTGTTACATATCAGGACACAGTAAAATCCATCTGGTCTTTAGCAATTCTTAAGAGTAGGTAATGCAAGCTCAAATGAACAACCACACATGACATATTACATCATGTCATCATTTATTTTACAAAAAGCCAAAATGAAGATTCAATACCTTGTAGAACCATCTTTAGCAGCAATAATTTGAAGTAATCATTTTCTTTATGACTTCTCGGTCTTTCATATTGTTGTGGAGGAATTTTGGCCCACTGTTGTTTATAACAAGAGGGCTTTTTTTCAGTTCAACAAGCCCACTTTTTCAATTCAGATCACCCCTCCACCACTGTGGTTGATGGTTGGTATGAGATATTTGTGCTGATATGCTGTGTTTGGTTCATGAGACATGGCATTATGACCGGACATCTCACTTTAGTCTCCTCTATCCAAAGAACAGTATTCCAGAAACAAACCATACTTAGTATTCTTCTAATTGTACTGTCGTGAACTTTAATGTTTACAGTGAGGGAAAAAAGTATTTGATCCCCTGCTAATTTTGTACATTTGCCCATTGACAAAGAAATGATTAGTCTATAATTTTAATGGTAGGCTTATTTTAAAGCGAGAGACAGAACAACAACAACAAAATCTAGAAAAACGCATTTCAAAAAAGTTATAAATTGATTTGCATTTTAATGAGTGAAATAAATATTTGATTCCCTATCAATCAGCAAGATTTCTGCTGCCAGGGGTCTTTTAAATGAATTCCTCTCATCTTCCTATAAATTGAAGTGTTAGATGTCTAAGTCTTGAGTTGTACATATCCTAGCTTATCTTTAAAGGTAACAGTTATACAGGTAGAGTTCTTCAGCATGTTGTATATTGACTACATGTGGGACCATTTTTCCCTGAATGAATGTTCCTCTAAATTAATATTGAATGTTCTGCTATGTAACTTCCTCAAAATTCTTAGTTTTGTAAAAATATCTAAGATTCATAATGGATGGTTTATTATGAATTATTGACTATACATAATGATAATATGGAAGTAATCAATGGTTTTAAGATTTAAATCTTTAATTCAGGCTTCACGTAATTAGTATCACAAGATATATTGTGACTGCTTTCCTATTCTCATTATTTGTTCTTTTTAATTATAAGCACTCTTTTTTTCTACAGTGAATGTGAAGTCTTCAGCAAAAATCATGCTTCTCCATTCTCAAAAGTTATTACTTTCCACAAAAAAGAGCCTTTTGAACTGGAAGCATTTTATACACATCCTCATGATGTTCCTTATCCCGATACAAGAATAGGTAAATGTTTTTGTTACTGGTTGAGCATGATAACAAAAAAACTTTTTAAAGATTTGTTTCAAATTTCAAATTTGTTTTATGTTTATAAAACAACTGTTTTGATTACTGATGCCTTGTTTTCTGTGGACAGTGCTCTTCTTTAAAAAAATATATTTCTACTTTTCTGCATGTGCCACTTATTAGTAACTAGGGCTTACTATCCCCAAGTGGCACATATCAAGTTACACCTTACAAACATATTGTTAGCAATGTAAATTCCGGTTCCAATTATTGTCATTAACTAAGGACTACCTGTATTCTCTTTTACTCAGCTGTTGTGAATTATAGGTGTACAAAATATTTTGGATTCAGAGTATCCTGTTGTGCTCGTACTGAAACAATTCAACTAAGCAGCTGTGTTTTCATCTCTTAACAACTGCTTAGGCAATGGCTGGAGTATTCCCAACAAGATTGAAACAATCACTATTGATTCCTACCAACTGCCTGGACATGTTTTTGCGGTTTTCATGGCAAGATTTTGAAATTGGTTTGTTATTGCCTTTTTTCTAAGGTTGAGAGAGAGAGTCAGATGCTCAAAGACACTTAGATAGATAGTGCGTAAGATAGGACTAAAGCTCAGTTTTCCAATATCTAGCCTGGTGACATAACTGTTACATCAAACTGATTCTTTCAAAGCATTTTAGATTTGAATTATATTTACATCACTCATTTGGATAAACGTGGTTGAATCTAGAAGCTTAGATTGGATCAGGCCATTTAAAATTTGGATGGAAGGCCACAGAAGAATTTAGAGCTCTAAACTAGACTAGCAGGTTGGAAAACTATCCTGGGGGAAAAGACAACAGCAAACCATATAGATCAACGTATTACAAACTCACTTCAAAGAAAGTCCACTAACCATTGATTATCCTAACCTAGGATGGAAATAAATTGAAAATGATTTTGTGCTATTTCTATTATTACTTACCACTATGTTAAACAATCAGTGTTATCTTGATTTTATTTTAAAGTATAGCTTTCCTATTATATGATACACTTGTGCAAGAAATAGAACACATTCTGAAATGGATGTGGTTGCTAATTATCAGTCAGATAATTCTTAATTATCTTTATAGATCCACAATTTTTTTTTTATGTAGTGCAGTTCCTGGGATTTTGACCTGCTAGGAACTGAGCAACAGGGTGGTAGTCATTTGTCTTTGCCCATATGCTCAAATGTGGTCTAGGGACAATAAGGGCTTCATGTTGCCCAGATATAAGTGGATAGGTATAGTTTTAGATAATTAGCTTATTGTATAACTATTAATAACACAGATCTGTTCAATACAGTTTAATTAAATAGATATTTGATCTTATCTCCTGATGACTGCATATATAAAAACAGTGGAAGTGATTTATAGGGTAATTTTAGTAGGCTGCTGTTGATATTAAACAAATAAAATAAATAAATAACTTTATTTCAGTCTGTGACACCATAAACACAAATATGTAAATGTATGTAAATATCAGGCTTCTGATGGAACCACTCAGGTCTCAGAAGACACCTTCGGAATTTTATGAGGCATCCTGGAATTAGAGAATGGTTACAGATTTGGGTAGGGTTTCCCCTGGATTTTTTCCCCTTGGCCACTGATCCAAGGAAAGTCCTCAGTGTATTAAGGAGTTCCAAAGATGAAATGGCAGAAGAGCGCCACTTGTGGGAAATAAACAATTAGTCTGAATTGTAATGCATATTCAAAACTTTACCAGCAACCAAGAACCTGCTTGAAAAGGATGGACTGGAAAACTGTTACAGGATTGTCATAAGGAATATTCTAGGCATCTGAAGGATGAAGGCTTTCTCCAGATCCATTTAGAGTTGGACGCCAGCTGAGTTATTCAGTTAAGTCTTGTGATGTTATCTGGGATGAGTTTGTACTGGACATAGATCTGTGTGCCAGCTTGGCCAACTGTAATCTAGATCTGTGCCCTTCTAGAACGATGAGAACCGTCAGTGAAGTAACAACTGGATTGGGGGTCAGTGAATGAGTCAAGGAAAAATGCTGCCTGCTTTAAATGAGTGGTACTTCTCCTCTACAAGAAACCATTGCTGAACTCAACAATGCTGGGCAAATGTTTATATGTTCCTTATCTCCCCTTTCAGGAGAATGTTACAGAGAAATGATAGGATGCTGTTGCATAGAGCACTGGAGGAAACTGATTATCTCTACTGTTTTCAGTTAGATTTTAGGGCTGGCCTTGGTACTGAGTACTATTTCTAAGTTGATGACCTTAGTATGACCTCCTTAACCTCTTAATAACTTTTGATACTATTAATCAGGCTATTCTCCTTGACTATTTCCAAGTGTTAGGGGTGGATACACTGTTTTGTAGTTCTCCTGATGGAGCAGTTCCATATAGTGGTTAAGAGAGCAATGTCAGACCTCTTGAATATTGGGTGCAGAAACCTCACTCTCTCCACTCCTCAACATCTGCATGAAATCTCTAGGGTGCATAACAGTTTAGTAGAAGAGTAGCTGTTAGCCAGTTTTATATCTTAACTTGCAATACAAACAGAGGATGCTGTCAAACATCTTCTCAGGTTATTAGAATGGGGAGAATAAGCTTAGTCTCAATCTCAGCAAAAGGTTGTGTTTTCAGAGGAGGAAACTGCTTAAATCCAGAGATATTATTTACCTCCCAAGGGAATCATTTTTCCCTGTGCTAAATTGGCACATAGCTTAGATCCTTGGTGCTCAGCTCCTGCTTGAGGAGTAGGTTACAATTGTAGCAAGGAGAGGTTTTGAACAACTTTACCTGGTGTAACAGTTACCACTTTCTATGGAATATTCCAACCTGTCTTAGTTATCTCTCATTTGGTATTACAATATGATCTGCATGATACTCTGTGAAGACCACTTGGAAGCTAAATCATGCAACTGTTTCAACTAGTAAATATATTATACATACTTGAAGTATAGTTCAGGTATATTATAATCTGCCCATATTTCATTGATACCTGTTAGTTTTGGGTACAATTCAAGATGCTAGTGTGACATTAAAGCTTTTCATGCTGCATAACCTGGATATCTTCAGGAATACTTCCTCTTAATTGTGCCAATTCAATAACATTATAAAGATCTCAGAATTGATTATTGGGACATCAGAGATGGACCTTTTTACTTGCTACATTCTTTGAAACAGCATTCTCCCTGAGATTGAGCAGGCATGGGAAGGGGATGCTGTAGCACTATGCAAATATAGTTGAGTGCATGCATTACAGATCATGGGATGGAGCATGTTGCAGGTAAGTGAGCACTCTGAACTGTAAGATCCCTTGGATCTTGTACTCCGTAGCGGGAGAAGGCACAGCAAGAATAACTTATGGGAACAAGTTGTGATTGCCTACTGGATTTCCCACTGACTTTGCTTGTGGAAAGCTGGAAGGAAAGGTTGCCAATGGAATTCATATGAACACAGTGTACTGCTAGCATTGGGAGTGCAAGCCAGCTTCCAAGTGCCCAAATTGTGATCACGGGACAGAGGGGGTGCTGTGACAACACAATGGTCATAGGTAACACTCAGTCATCAAACTTTGTAAGAGAATTTTAATTTCTCTGTTGGTGAAAAAATAAATCAGAAGCTCTCACAGTTGACTGCATTTAGCTGATTCAAAATAACTTCTTTATATTTATATCAAAATATTTACAATACCATACATTCTTCTTTACAGCAACATAGCACAAATGAAGACTACTTATAGAGAGATACAGAGACAGACCTGAGACTGGAAATCCAGCTCCTAACTCAATACCCTTTTGCACAGACTCAGTAGCACTTTCTTCACATTGGCTGGCTGAGTTACCACATGACTTCCTGCTCATGAATATTCCAACACTCCTCCCTTCATGACAGGAAGAGACATCAGACCTATTGACTTAATACATTCTCCATAGTGAAGACTACCCAATGGTTTAGTCATCATGTCTGCCAAATTATCCTCAGAAGAACAATGATGTAAACTAATCAATTTTTTTTTACAACTTCCCTGACATTACAATACTTAATGTCTACATGTTTACTTCTGTTCTTTACCCTGTCACCAATTGCCATTTTTATACAGGCAGTATTGTTTTCAAATACCTTTACAGATTCTTTTACGTTAATATTTAAATCTTGCAATAACTGTATATCATTATTTGGCAATACCTTTTTCTTATATACCCACTTACAACCCACAGCTTTGGTTCCCTGTGGCAAAGTCACTGCTTTAAATACTTCATGGTCTCCCATGGATTTCATCTCTTTATCCATGGCCTCCTTCCATCTTTCTTGTTCAGCTTTTGTAATGCCAACACTTCTTTATAACTTCTTGGCTCATACCACACATTGCAAACTTTTACCTTGCTGGCAGAATACTTGTCAGGCGGAATTCCTTTATTACATCGCTCTGACCTATGTGGAATTAACTGCTCCTGTGTCTCAAGTCTTTCTGGTTTCATGTCTTGTTCAGCCTCTCCTCCCTGAACATGGACATCTTCAATAATGATTTTTTCATCATTAGATGAGTTATTGTCATTAAATAGATCACCGTCATTAAGTGAGACATACCCAGAATTTGCATTCTGTCCCAATTTTGTTCTGCAAAATTAGCAGACCTTGACATTACAATTCTTTTACTTCCATCGCTAAAGCGATATCCTTTTGACCCTGGCTCATAGCCCACAAACCTGAGTTTTCTTGCCTTTTGCTGTCCCTTTCTTCTGATTGCTTTTGGAATATGTACCCATGCAGTACTTCCAAAAATTCTCAAATGTGCCAGTGATGGCTTTCTCCCATATAGAATGGCATATGGAGTATTATTAATGGAGGAATTCCATAGCCTGTTAACTATATAATTGTCAGTCAATATAGCTTCTCTCTAATATGACCTGCTCATACCAGAATCCTCTAATAATGAATCTTTCATTGTTTGCAAAACACCATTCCTTCTTTCAGCTACACTGTTCTCTGCTGCTGTGTAAGGATTTGTACATCTGTGTCTTATCCCCAACTGCCCTAACCATTGTTGGAATTTAGTTGACATAAATTCAGTACCTCTGTCAGTTTGCAACTGACACACTTGTCTGTACCTTCTCTCTACAAAACTTACCCACTTTGAATTGTTGTAGCACCTCTGTCTTTGCTCTAAGCAAGTAACAAAACGAATACCTGCTATAATCATCAACAATTACCAGTGCATATTTTGCTCCTCCCAAACTGGTTTGCATAGGTCCCACCAGATCTGCATGGACCAGCTCTAGAGCTCTTTTTGTTTGTCTTGTGCTATATTTACTAACTGGGAATGCCTTTGACTTCGATGCTTTGCATACTGCACAGTCCAAATATGTTTTGCATCCCTTCAAATTTAGCCCTTCTGCAAACTCTTGCATTTGCTGCAAAATCTTAAAGCTTGCATGGCCTAGTCTTCTATGTAGAAGATGAACACACGAATCATGCTCTGCAACATTCTTAAATATATGGGAACATTGAACCTTTTGTCCCTGCAATACATATAGATTATTTTCCTTTATGCCTTCTGCACAAATATTCCCATTCCTTTTGATGAGACACTTCCCATTTACAAACATGACCTCAAAACCTTGTTTGTCTAAATTAGACACACTTAACAAATTATGTTCCATCTCAGGTATACAAAGCACTTTGGAAAACTTTGATTCCAAATATGGAATTTTTACATTGCCTTTTCCGATGACTTTTGCTTTCTGGCCATTTGCCAAAGCCACAGCTTCTTGTGCTACTGGAACAGACCTGCAAAATAATTCAGAGTCATTAACAGTTGTTTGACTTGCCCCATTATCTATTAGCCACTTGTCTCTGTTGTTGCTATAGCAAACTTTTGCAACACCAAAATGTTCCTTTTGCAAATCAGTCCTTTTTGCGTCCACAAATGTCCTTTGCTGCAAATTGTTCCTTTGCAAACAGTTCCTTTTCAGATGTGTCTTTGCTCCACAAATGTAGCAATTCCTTTCTTGCTTAGCTCTCTGCCTGCAAAATGTTTCTTCTTCGGAGACTTGCAGTCTGGACCCCCTCCTCAGGAATTTCACCTCGTGGCTGCTTCTAAAATGTTGCTTTTCTTCTTCATTAAGCAAACTTGCCTTTAAAGCAGCGGTTCTCAACCTATGGGTTGCGACCCCATTTGGGGTCGATCGACCATTTTTCGGGGTCGCCAAAGGTGGCGATCCGCCATTTTTCGCGGCGCCGTGCACGCGCGTCGCGCATGGGGGCGGCGTGCGTGGAACGGCGTCGCGCACGCACGCCGCGCATGGGGGCCCCGCCCCCATGCACGCGGCGCCGCGCATGCACAGAACGTTTGTGTGACGGGGGTCGCCGTCACACAAACGTTGAGAAGCACTGCTTTAAAGCCTCAAAATTTAAGTCTTGCTCTTCTTTACACTCAAATATCGCAGAAACTGTCCCAGGTTTTATCTAAACTGTTCAACACCAATAAAACCTTCTGGGACTCAGGGAATTTAATCCCACGTTGTTCTAAGTCCAAAAATAAACTTTGCATTTTATTTAAATGCTGTTCCACAGATTCACCTGGTTGCAAATAGGCCCTGTAAAGTTTTCTTGACAACTGCATTATATTGCATGCAGAAACATTCACGTGCACAGCTCTCAACTTCAACCAAATCTCCTTTGCAGTCTTTAAATTTGCAACATTTAGAAATTGTTCATTATCTAAATTCAAGATGAAATAAGCTATTGCTTGATCATGACTTTTCTGATCAGCAGCTGCAAACACTTGTGGTGGATTTTCTACGATATACCACAGCTCTTTTGCTTTGAGCAAACATTCCATTTTAGCAGCCCACACAATGTAATTCTTCTGGCCTAAACGAGGCACAGAGTTTTCCTCAAATTCCATTGCAGCCATTCTGCTAATTCTGCCTTGTTCTTATACTTTCTAAACACAGGCAATTTCTTCCAGCTTTAAATTACAATGCAGTCCTTAGTAAGCTCTGGGCCCATAACCTGTTAGAGAATTTTAATTTGTCTGTTGGCGAAAAAATAAATCAGAAGCTCTCATAGTTGACTGCATTTAGCTGATTCAAAATAACTTCTTTATATCAAAATATTTACAATACCCTACATTCTTCTTTACAGCAACATTGCACAAATGAAGACTTCTTACAGAGAGATACAGAGACAGACCTGAGACTGGAAATCCAGCTCCAGACTCAGTAGCACTTTCTTCACATTGGCTGACTGAGTTACCACATGACTCTTCCTGCTCATGAATATTCCAACAAACTTTGAATAATTGCCTGTATACTGAAACTTTAGTAAAGATTTATTATCACAATGTGCTAAAAGGTTCACACCTCACCTGGATTACGTCTATTCCCATCTCTCAGTTTGGGAATATCAAGTGGACCATATATTTCCCACTTATGTAACAAATATGATAAGAACAAAGAAGAGACTTTGCTTGGTTAAAAAAAGATGTATTATCTTACATATATGAATTACAATTCATTTATAACATACAGGTAACTTGCAGTCCAATGTTCGTTCTTATAATCTTTTTTAAATTTTGTTTTTAATCTGTAAATTTCATCATCATTAAATTTTCCAAGAACATGCAGGCATTTTTTCCCTACTCCACCTAATGTAATTTTTTATTGATACGTGTAAAACCTCTGAGAACAAATTGCAAGCTTAACATAACAAAAAACTTTCTTATGCAGTTAAAAAGAATAAGGTGATCTACCTTTTGCTAGTCAAGAGGATGCAAATTCATGAGGGGCTTTAAACAAACTTCATCATTTCTGGAACTTTTCCTTACTTATTTTCTTGTACCTTGTAAATATGTTCCAGAAAGTCTTTTAACTATTTGTAGTCTTGGGAGGACTGAGGACATAATGTTTCAATGGTGGATACCATATGGACATTACTGGATAAACCAATGATATTAACATAATACCTATACATAATCAGTACTAAAGTATATCTTCCAGAATGCTTCTATAGGGATATATATATGTAACTTTTTTAAAAATGTTGAGTAACATCCTAATTTGCAAAACTGTAACTGTTTTGCATTGCCTCTTTTATTCTTAATGGAAACAAATGTCTAACTGGCTTTTTTATCTGTCTATCTAATCTATCTATCTTCTATGCCCACCCTTCTTACCAAGGTGACTAGGCAGCTTACAGTTTCAGTCATAGCTGCAGTAGCAGCCATTTGAGGAAGTTGCCCATCAAAGATCCATGCATACAGGTATCCTCACTTTACAATCATAATTGGGACCGGAATTTTGGTCATCAAGCAATGCGATTGTTAAATAATTGATCATGTGAGCAGAACTGATTTTGTTTTACTATTTTTACCATTGTGGTTAAACAAACCCCTGCAGTAATTAAGCAAATCATGTGGTCATTAAGTAATTCTGGCTTCCCCAGTTGGCTTTGCTTCTCAGAAGCTGCCTCGGAAGGTTACGATTATGTGACTGGAAGATGCTGAACCATTGTAAATGTAGCCAGTTGCCAAGTATTCAATTTGCAATCACATGACTGGGGGTGAGGCCACAGTCTGAGGTATCATAATTCAAACCATCATTAAAAAATATAAGTGATGTATAAATTTATAAATGTTTTTGTAATATGTTTGATATAAATAAGTGTACTAATCAATGCCATATTGCTATGTTGTTTAGGCCATTTTGTTATTCAAAATGTTGGTCCCCAAAATGACGGTGATAATTCAAAAGTTAAAGTTAAAGTGCGAATTAATATCCATGGAATCTTCAGTGTGGCTAATGCATCTGTTGTAGAGAAGCAAAATTTGGACTGCGAGCCTAATGATATTCCAATGGACACAGAATTGTCATGTAACAATCAAAGCACAGAAGAACTGGTATGTAAAAACTATAAATAGAATTCTTAATTCTAAATTGTCTTATGTACTGTGCTGACTAAATGCAGTGGGGTTTTTTACTTTAATCTTTGTCATTGAGAATTTTTGTATTTTGAAAATCCAGCTTGTTTCATTAATTAATTTAACTTTTTTTCCAAACCTGTGAAATTTTTTAATCCTAGTGCTTTCAATATTTTTTCCTATTCCATGTAAATTAACTTGGCTTTCTATCTTTAACTTTCTTGTTTTCCTTGCTTTTATAAACATGCATACTAGTCACTCTTTCTCTGCACTAATAAAGGCTATATCTTTGACATTGTATTGAGAAATCTCTTATAAAACTATATACACACACATGTATACATGTACACATGCTTAGTTAATTGTAAATGTGTCTCCTTAACTTCCATAGAAGTTTTAAAATAGTTAATTTAAATTTACAGCATGTCTGTTAGAAGCATGTCAAAGCAACAGAAAATAGGACTTCCGGTTCTGGATCGCGACGCCTCTGGCCGCACAAAGAGACTTGTCTCCTCGTCAGCTAGCTTCCCTCCGCCGGTAGACCCTGGAGAGTGTGACTTCTGTCGAGGAGGCTTTGCTCAGCTGCGGAGGAGCAGTGGCTCCTCCAGCTGTCCGAGCTATCTCTGAGGGCTGACGGAGAAGATCGGCCAGTAAAATGGCCAATCAGGCGCCACACAAAGAGACTTGTCTCCTCGTCGGCTAGCTTCCCTCTGCCGGTAGACCCTTATGAGGGTTGAAAGTCGCCCTGGAGGGTGCGACTTCTGTCGAGGAGGCTTTGCTCGGCTGCAGACGAGCAGCGGCTCCTCCAGCTGTCCGAGCTATCTCAGGGCTGACAGAGAAGATCGGCCAGTAAAATGGCCGATCACCCTGCCGCTTCAAACCGCAAGTCAAAGAACATCTAAGCTGTAAGAACCACTGTGGTGAATCCGGTGAGGCTTTTTTTCTGTTTCCTGCTCCTCTCTTCATTTTATCTTTTTTTTTTTTTTTTTTGCCTGTAAGAGCCTTGTTGGAATTATTTCCCTGGCTTGAAAAAACAGCTTTTACATGTTTGGGAAGAAAGGCATTACAGAAGAATACAATAAAAATTTAAAGAATATACTTTATTTTCATATGCTTTGGGGTACAGAAAAAAAAAATTTTTCTAAGAGCTGTACTATCATTTTATGCTGGAAGATTATTTCTTTTTTCACATTATATTTCAAAAGAAAGAAAAAAGGGGGAAAATGGTGTCTGGAAAAGTTTTTTTCAACTTACTGAGGACATCTAGTGGTGAAAATCTAATATTGCAACTTTTGGCTATTTTTTGGAGATGGAATAGATGGACCTTCAAATTACCTTTGAGGAGAAAAGATAAGCTGATGCAGCTGTGAGAGTTGTGGGGGTGAACACTGTTTAACTTTTATTAAACACAGCCTCCACAAGAAGAAAAAAGAGACTCTTTTTCATTACTATCAAAATGTAGAAAGCTCATTTACAATTAAACTGCAAACTTATATTGGAAAAGATTTATGAGGCCACTGCAGAAATATGTGCTACAATGAAAGAGTTTACTACAGAATTAAGATCCAGAAGTTGTACTTCAAATCTTCAAACTGATCTCCAGGCTACATCTGATTATTCTATAAATAAAAATATACTAGAAGAGGAAACAACTGAGATAAATGAGAAAGTTACTTTATCTTATAAATATTCCATCTACAGCTTTGAGGACCAGAAGAATCAAAGATTGAGACTGGAAACTTTAAAGCAATGAAGCTTTAAGAATGAGAGAAATAGATGCCTAATTCAGAGGATGGGATTCCTATTGTTTCAAAGGGCACTACAAGCAATAAAGAGAGATCTATTGGCTGAAAAGGAAGCTTGATTATGGAAACCTGCCTGGCACAGAAAAAAAGCCAGAATAAGACTGAAAAGAGGAATTTAAAATTGTGTAATGGATTTAAAGGCAATGTTGATTTATGGACAGTTATAAGGATTAAGATTCAGAGTTAGAAGTAAGAAAAAAGGTTGATTATTAGAACAGATGTTTTAATTAGATTAAGAATGTACTTTTTGGAATAATAGGTTTATTTTCATGAAAATTATTATGTATTGGAATGGAAAAATGCTGGCTTTTTAGGGTTGGATTGTTTTAATAATTGTTTTAAATTAGTAGGATGATGTTTCGGTATGATAATATAGATGTGATAAGGCACGATAATCAATTGGATGAAATCTGAATTTTGTTTAATGAATTGAAATGAGTTAAGACTTACACTATTTTGTTATTTTAAAGAGATTGGTCGATAGATGGATTATACATGTATAGGGTAGATTAATATTTTATCTTAATTAGGATATGTATTGTGTAGTGGAAGAAGAAATAAATGAGACTTGTGATAAAATGAGGGATATAAGAGATTAAGAATTAGAATATAGCTGGAAGGGATATCTGAATTGATTGTCAACGCTGCAAATATTGTATATTCTTGCTTTTGACAATATGTAGAATTGTCTGGTAATTATGGGGTTAATACAGAGCAGAAGGGGGGTTGGGGGTAAAGCCCGGGAAAGAAAGAGGAAGAAAACATTTGACCTTCACACTAATTGGGTAATGTGAGATATGACGGCTAATTTAGGGAGGGAACATGCTGATAATTTAACTGCTCAGAGGAAGAGAACTTAGACCGACATTTTGTAACAATAAAAGACTTTTAGGAAAATAAATGCCTGGAAGTTCTTTGGAATTTCATTAGCCGAAATCACAACATTAATAACTTTTGACTTAAAGTTAAATTTGATTATGGTAATTGTAAATTTACAACGTTTTAAAACAGGTTTAGCAGTTATAGAAATTTAAATTAGAAATGAAATATTTTAAACGTATTATGGTAGTTGAGGGAAATAGAGAGGGGACATTGAATGTATTGAGTTGAGTTATTTATATATGGTTCTATTGTTGAATGTTTGATTACCCAAACACCATGGTGTGTCCCGAGCACCTTTTTTAAGATTTAAAAAAACCAATAAAATGTGTTTCAAAAAATAAAAAGCAACAGAAAATATGATTGTAACTTGAATATTGCTCATGCAGATGTCAGTAAAGAAGTAGATAAAGAGTTCATAGGATAGCTAAATGTCTATGGAGATTCTTAGTAATCCAGGTCGTGGTTATCCCAAAGCTGCTTTTCCATGAGACAACTGGACTTTCTTGTTTTTCTTTGAAGAGGTTTCGCTTCTCATCCAAGAAGCTTCTTCAGCTCATACGATAATGTAACCATTTTAATTCTTAAGCCTTGTTTCTTTCAAATATTTGCTAACTATTGTCTGATACTATAAAGGGTATTGATACTTACCTTTCATGACTGAAGACGAAACCCTTCAACTCTGAGGTTGAAGTTAAATATATAGTAAGCAGAAGATAGCAAAGATTGACTAAATTTTGGATTCTTTTTTGAATATAGAGTAGGATATAAAGATGGTGATTATAAGGATTTTCTAATAGCTGTACTTTTCAAAAGTTATTAAGGCCTTAAAGTTTTTGGGAATCTGAAGCAAAAAAAAAATGGATTGAAAGCATATAGCACATGTTGGCCTTTGTAAACCAGCAATGGCTTTTTCTGGATCATTTATGTTGTACACCCCTATAAAAATAGAATGCTTGTTACTTTATAATTATAGCAAAAATACTTCCACTTCAGATGTTGGCTAACAATTGAACATGCTAGTGGTACTTATGTACATTAAAAAAAATAAACCATTCAAAAATATTGGAATAAATTTTGACTTAAATGCCAGAAACACCATTAATTTAAATTTTTGACTTAAATGCCACAAGCATAATATATGGCCTGGGGAACCCAAAATTGGATGGAGCCCATCAAGTGGCTTATTTGATTGACTGTTGTTGCGGGTAGGGAAGCTGATTGCTTTTTATTGTTTTTATGCTGGGTTCTTAATAGCAATTAGACTCTTTGAGTTCCTTACAATGTCAGCGTATTGCTCTCAACAATCTCTGTCCTCATTTTACTGACCTCGGAAAGATTGAAGACTTGAATCAATATCGAGCCCAGGCAGGATCGAATTCCAGATCACTCAGAGTTAGTCTGCAATATTGCATTCTGACCACTGCTTATCTTTGTAAGCTACCCAGAGTCATTGAGAGTGAATTGGGAGGCCATATAAATTTTCATAAATAAATGATGTTCTGCCTCAAGCTTGTGAATTCTTATAGTAATGAGGTGCTAATTTTAGGGGTTATTTTCAGTTTTCTATTATTCCGCTTACTGACTTAGTTTCATTTAAATCTTTTTGTTTCTTTTTCTAGGATTCTTTTAACTCCATTGTTTATAGAACATTTAAAGTGTTCTTTGATGTAAATGCAATTATATTTTGTTTGAAGTGGGTTGTTTTACTTTTAATATGTGATTAGTATTATAATTAGTAATATGGTCTCATTAATGTATAATTAGAATTATATTATTAAGTAATTAGGACTGTATTTCACAGCCATAATTATTTATCAGTCATGGACACTTTCTTGCAATAACCATGTTGAAGGAATTGAATAATCTTTTATTGTTAGGGAGAAGTCAGTAATAAACTATTCCAAAAGTATTGCTAAGACAACTGCATGGATTTGTCCATGAAATTGCCAGAAGTCATGACTGATTCAGAGGCAAAAACATTATTCCCCCCTCCAAAAAAATCCCTCAATATTTTTTTTTCTAAAAGTCATGGAGGTAGGGGAATAGTATATATCAAGAACAGAGTCCTTCTGTGAGGGAGATGGGTGGTTTCAAAATAAATAAATAAAAATGAACACAATTTAATACCATTGTTTTGATTCGTATTTTAAAATTATTTTTACTGGCATACCTCGTTTGATTGTGAAAAGCTACTGCTTCTTGACAAGAATAATAAAACTTTTCATAAAATTTAGTGTGGAATTAAAACTTCTGTTTTATAGGCTAAAATGCAGATTGATCAAGATGATGGTAATCAAAAGAGTCAAATAGAACAAAGTCAAACAGATGAAGAAACTGATCATATAGGGACCGAAGGAAAGGTATATATGAAATTATGATAAAGTCAGATTCTAAAGTTAGGGCTGTCTATCTTTTGATAGTGCTAAGAAGTGTTAAATACTCTGAGAATAGTGTGCCATGCTTTGACACCTTGGAATTCTCACTTATAGTCATGTGAAAAAGTTCTATGGTTTTACATATTAGGATACAATAAAAATCATCTAGTTCTTAGAGTTCTTAAAAGTAAATACAACCTTAGATGAACAATACATAACACACGTCATCATTTATTTTATAAAAAGCCAAAATGGAGAAGCCATGTATAAAAAACTAAGTACACCCTTACTGCTTCTATAGGGATGAAGTGGCTAAGTAGCAGCTAGATGCTGCTAATCAAGTGCCCTTGATCAATTAATCATCAGCAAGAGTGACCACCTCTATAAAAAACAAAGTTTTAGGAATTTTCTGATATCCAGCAATGAGGTATGAGTTAACACAATGGAAAGACATCAGCTAAGAGAAGCAATTATTGCTGCCCATCAATCTGGGAAGAGTTACAAGGACATTTCCAAACAATTAAGGCCATCATTCTACAGTGAGGAAGATTATTCACAAGTGGAAAATATTCAAGACAGTTACCAATCTTCATAGGAATAGACAAATTCATCCCATACAATGCTCAGAAAAATCACTAAAAATCCAAGAGTTACAGGACTCAGTTTGCATGTTAAATGTTAACGATCATGACAGTACAATTAGAAAAAGACTGAACAAGTATGGTTCGTTTGGAAGGATTGCCTGGAGAAAGCCTCTTCTCTCTCAAAATATGGCAGCAGGGCTTAAGTTTGCAAAGTTGCATCTAAACAAATCACAAGACTTCTGGAACACTGTCCTTTGGACAGACGACACTAAAACAGAGATGTTTGGCCCTAATGCATAGTGCCATGTTTGGCAACAACCAAACAAGCATATCAGCACCAACATCTCATACCATCAAGCACAGAGATGGAGAGGTGATGATTTGGGCTTGTTTGCAGCCACAAGACATGGGTACCTTGCAATCATTGAGTCAACTATGAACTCCTCTGTATACCAAAGCATCCTGTGAGGCCATCTGTCTGATAGCTAAAACTTGGCTGACATTGGATCATGCCACAGAACAATGATCCCAAGCACAACAGCAAAACTACAACTGAATGGCTGAAAAAAGAAAAGAAAGTGTTGCAATGGCCCAATCAAAGTCCAGACCTCAACCCAAGAGAAATGCTGGGGCGGGGCCACAAGAGAGCTGTGCAAGCACAAATGTCCACAAATCTCAATGAATTGAAATAATGTTGTAAAGAGTGGGCCAAAAATCCTCCACAACAATTTGAGAAACTGATAAAAGTCATAACAAAAACAGTTATTTCAAGTTATTGCTGCTAAAAATGGTTCTACCAGCTATTAAATCATAAGGTGTACTAAGTTTTTTTACACATGGCTTCTCCATTTTGGCTTTCTTTTTGTAACATAAATGAAATCATGGTGTAATATGTCATATATTGTTCATCTAAGGTTGTATTTACTACTTTTAAGAACTGCTGAGGACCAGATAATTTTTATTGTGTCCTGACATGTAAAACCGTGAAACTCAAAAGAGTTACTTTTTCACATGACTGTAGGTTAAAAGCGTTCATGTTTATGTAGAGCAGGGGTGTCAAACTGCCGACCCACGGGCCAGATGCGTCACACCAAAACTGCGCCCACCCCTTTGCCGGCAATGGGAAAAAAGTCGCAGTATGTCGCGACATGTCACGTGACATCAAGAGTTTGGTAGGGTGGATGCTTGTTATGTATAACCCTTGAATAAATTGATGTGTGGAAAAGTCTTTGACTGCTAGGCTGAAACACTTCTGGGTGAGTTTATTTTCAAGCAATGTTGGAAAATAGAATCACTCTATTTTCCAAATCTTGTATTTTAAAATTCATAAGTAAATGCAAAAATTACAAGATATGTCTATTTAAAATGGCAGCATATTAGGATATTATTTTATCTGCTAAATTATACAAGTATAGTTTTTTATCAGATTTCTATTTTTATGTGCAATGGGAACAAATGCTATGGTGACATAATTTAATCTCTTATTCTGCAGACTGCTTCAGGAGACAAGATTGATGCAAATCAGTCAAGCAAAACAAAGACCAAGAGCATTGATCTACCTATCCATGTTAACTTATATAGACAGGTTGAACAGGATCTTATTAATTGCTACATTGAAAATGAGGTGAGCAATTGCAGAAATCTTGAATCATATATGTGGAATAATTATAAATGCATCAGTGCAGAAAAGAAAAATTATCTCTAATTGTTCCTTGTAAATCCAGTAATTTGGGGTAGAAGAATATAGATGTATTTCAAGAAAAAAAATCAACTATGCTTTATATTTGTGATTAAGTTATCTGAATACTTTTATTTGCTGCAGGGGAAGATGTTGATGCAAGACATTCTGGAGAAGGAGAAAAATGATGCCAAAAATGCTGTTGAAGAATATGTGTATGATCTGAGAGATAAGCTTTGTGGCGTCTATGAAAAATTCATAACTGAAGATGTAAGAGTTCTCATGAAACTAACATGATGAAGTCCTTTAAAATAACATTAGTATTAAAATTGCTGCATCTGTAAAACATTGCAGTGAGTTGGTTCTAGTTATAGTTCAATAACTCTTTAAAATCAGTGGGATAAATTAAGATAAACTTGAGCTTCCATTGATTATAAATATTTTACTTCATAAATCAGTTCAAATGTTCCTAAACTAGTAGATTTCCTCATATGTTTGGCATAAACTTCTAGGCCTGTGAATTTGGAGGTGTTTTCCTTGTTGGGGGGGGGGAGAGGGAAGATTGTTAAATTTCTCCACTTTATTACATAAAAATTTCTAACTCCTTCAAGATTTTCTCCTCACTGACACATCAAGGCAGAAGGAGGCTATGGATGATCTCCATTGAAGTAAAAGTTACATTGAATTCTATTTAAGAAGGAAATGAAGATAAAATTACTGTTTTAATGATTAAAGTATATTCCTTAAAATAGTAATACACATTCCTGGAGGCCTTCAGGAATGTTATTGCCTTCCTTAATGCCAGACATGCAAGACCAGAAGCAAGGATCGAGCGAGCATTTGTTGCTTGTCCTTTAGTAGCATCTTTTCCATTGTATTGGGCCAGAATAATTTATTGAAATGTTCCATTCTAGTAGCAGGAGCAGGAGCATCAGTAGTAATCAAAAAAAGAAAAAGCAGGAGGGAACAAAAAGAAAACAGGAATCCTTTACTCACCTGTACATGAATTACTGGTGGGATAGTGGACAGGATTTCCTTCGGTTGCAGTTTTCGTTCTCTCAGTAAATGCTGAACCTTTTCTTTAAGAAGAAGAAGATATTGATATATGTAGGTGTAGGTACATAAACATAATATGTCTATTGGTTGGTATATATAATACACGAGTTGTATATTCTAATTAGTGGTAATAAATAATTGAGAAGTATGATCTCTCCTGGGAAAATGTTTATCAGCAATTGACCTTAGTAACTTTGCTCTGAAGGAGAGATAATCAACAATTCATGACAGGTAGAATTTTTTTTAATTTCTACTATTAACAGAGTAAACCAAAATCTCAGAAAATAGATTATAGTCTTCCTTTAATTTTCATTCCTATACATTAAAATTATCTTTGCTTATTTAAGCATTCAAACAAAGCTCCTATCTTGTTTTAATGTCTGTTTTGATTTTTTAATTTCCATGTTCTAATAGTTGGTGTTATACCTATAGAAATATAGACATTTATTTATTAAAATCTCTTTCAGCACACTTTGGCAAAAAAGTAGCGTGTGTTCTGAATATAGATTTAAATATAGTAAATTCCAGATGTATTGCCATTATTAAGTATAGAATTAAACTAGATAGATACTTCTATGAGAAACTTAAATGGAATTATGGTCTACCTGTGTTGCTGATAAATTAACCATTAGATGTGAGATCTAATTTAAATTTATATTAGATTTGCCTATTAACATTTACTACAAGAGTTGATGCAGAATGCATGTAGGAGGGACTTGGAGCTAGACTATGGTATTCCTGAAATAACTGAAACAAAGAAAGTTCCATTTATACTATATACTTCTAGTAAATGTATTATTTGCCTCCAAGTTTACTTTTTAAAAATATTAAATAGCATGAAATAGCATATCTTTGACATTGCAATTACTGTTATTTGTTCTTTATGAACAGTGTAGAAATAAGAGCTTATAAAAGATGCTTTAGTTATAATCTTATTACTGTAACAGTATAAGTAGCAAATTATTATTGTAGAACTATTTTTTCACTAGTTTAAAATGATAAAGATCACTGGGCTATTGTTATATATTGTATTATTCTCCCTCTAGGATTCAAGAAAAATAACATTAATGTTAGAAGATACAGAAAACTGGCTTTATGAAGATGGAGAGGACCAACCAAAACATGTATATGTGGAAAAACTTCAGGAAATGAAAGTAAGCTTTCTATTGCTAGAAATAAAGGGCCTGATAGAGATAGAGAGATAGATTAATGATGATGATGATGTTGGAAGGGACCTTGGAGGTCATCGAGTCCAACCCCCTGCTCAGGCAGGTAGGAAGGAAACCCTACACCATTTCAGACAGATGGCTATCCAGTCTCTTCTTAAAAACTTCCAGTGTTGGAGCATTCACCCCTTCTGGAGGCAGGTTGTTCCACTGGTTAATTGTTCTAACTGTCAGGAAGTTTCTCCTTAGTTCTAGGTTGCTTCTCTCCTTGACCAGTTTCCATCCATTGCTTCTTGTCCTGCCTTCAGGTGCTTTGGAGAATAGCTGACTCCCTCTTCTTTGTGGCAGCCCCTGAGATATTGGAACACTGCTATCATATCCCCCCTCATCCTTCTCTTCATTAAACTAGACATACCCAATTCCAGCAACCGTTCCTCATATGTTTTAGCCTCCAGTCCCCTAATCATCTTTGTTGCTCTTCTCTGTACTCTTTCTAGAGTCTCAGCATCTTTTTTACATCGTGGTGACCAAAGCTGGATGCAGTATTCCAAGTGTTGCCTTACCAAGGCATTGTAAAGTGGTATTAATACTTCACGTGATTTATATTCACTGATTTATCAATTTATCACTCCTATATTATAAATAAGATATTGTAAAATATCACAGAATCTCTGCCACATTTACATATTGCTGCATTTGTTGATTAGTAGAAAATACCTTTACAAAATAGATCACACATTTATCCCTGTCATTCCTTGACATCTGGAATAATACAATTTTCTTAATATAATTATTTTTGATGCACACACATACTCATGCTCAATCCAATCATAGTTCCTTATAACAGTCAAATTCCAAAGCTTTGGTTCATAATTCAGGATTACATTAACACGTAAAGTATTAAAAATCTTTTAAATATTAAATATTTTCCCATAAATCTATTCAAAGTTCCAGAAAGATGCCAGATGATTACACGGCTATATCATATGGATAAGGGTCCTCATTTTTTTTTAATACCTCCAGCACAAAAAAATTGATGTCCATCCTTTCAGATACATTTTTGAAGAGTTCTGTACTTCTGTAAATGCCTTTTTGATGGATCAATCTTAATCTCAAATCTACAGATACAATTTCAACATTCTAAGAACCTGAAGCCCCTAATGTGGCTTTATCAAAAATTCCAGTTCTATAAACCGTGTTTGAAATATCTCAGAGATGTCTGCTTTAAAAATATTGAGCTTTTAACAGAGATATGTTATAGGTTTTATTCTGTCATGGATCCATCAAGCAAAGTATTTTTGAGGCAGTCAAAGCATTTGGTCCATATTAATCCATTAGAGCATGGGTGTCAAACTTGTCACATGACATGTCTCAATATATCGCAACTTTTTTTGCATTGCTGGAGCTGGGCCTCTGCATGATGCAACTAGCCCTTGGGCTGGCAGTTTGACACCCCTGCATTAGAGCATACTTAAGCTGAAGACACATGACCTGTATTCCATAGGAATCTGTCTACATTTTTTTCCTCTTAACTATTCTTTGCTTTGTTCAGTACTTGATTCCCCCCCCCCCCTATACATTATACAGTATTTTCTTTCTACTTACCAGGCAGCTTTTATCATCATCCCACCTGCTTGAGCATTAGATTTCTTTCCAAGCTTCAAATACTTTTTAGATCTTTTACTGTGTTTGTTTCATTTGTATCCTGCCTTTCTACTAGGGGACTGGGATGGCAGCTATTCCAAACTATAGTCCATAGTGGAATATGTGAGAGAGATGCATTGGGTTTCCTGCTTTAAGCAAGAAACTGGACTACCTCCCATATAATGGTAATTCTAGTATTCCCACACAATTAAGACATAGGCTTGTTGGCTGTCATATGTGATCAATTTTCCTGGTTTCTTTCATATAGCACTAGCAATAGCACTTAGACTTATATACCGCCTCAAAGTGCTTTATAGCCCTCTCTAAGCAGTTTACAGAGTCAACATATTGCCTCCAACAATCTGAGTCCTCATTTTGATCTCGGAAGGATGGAAGGCTGAGTTTACCTTGAGCCTGGTGAGACTGGAACTGCCAAACTGCTGTCAGCCGGCAGTCAGCAGAAGTAGCTTGCAGTACTGCATTACCAGGGTGACTAATGGTGATATATGGTGACTAATCATTTATAAGCAGTTCTGATCAATTAATAACAAGATTTTATCTTCATTTATATTTTTTTTCTACATTTTAATGAGAACTTTTACAATAATTTTTCTATATTTCTAGAAATTTGGTGGCCCTATTCATGATAGATATAAGGAATATGAAGAAAGACCAAAAGCTTTATTTGATTTAGAAAATAAACTCCAGATGCTTATGAAAGCTCTAGAAGAATACGAAAATAAGGTAAGACAGAGCATATGTTTTTAATAATAGTTATTCATAAATATCTATATTATATAGGACATTTTCAATAAATGTATATAAAATTGAAAACTAATTTTCAAAATTAGATATATAAGATAATTTGGGCTTGTGACAATGTGACACCAGTACTCCAGCTCCACTTGGAACAGGAATTTCTAAAATCAAACAATAAATAAGGCTATATTTTCAGATTCCTTTAAATAGATAATTATCTGACTTTAACAGAATGTGTTTGTTCAAGTAAGAAATCATTATGAAATCAACTCTTCTAAAATCCATTATGAGATAAACATATATGTTTATTGCTGAATGTTAATTTTTAATATTTTCTTTGTAGGATAAAAAATATGATCACATTGATCCTGTTGATATGGAAAAAGTTGAAAAATATGCCAGTGAAACTATGAACTGGTTGAGCTCAAAGATGCATACACAGCACAGACTGAATTTGACACAGGATCCTATTATTAAGGTGGCAGAAATAAAAGCAAAATCTAAGGTAAATTAACTTTCGGATTGAAATATTCTAATGGAAAAGTAGGATGAATTAGCCTTAGAATAGCTTAGTATTTCAAATGATATCAGAACACAAAATATATTTTGGCAAAAGCTAAGGCAACTACAGTAAATAGATATTTCTTAAGTTTCCACAAAAATGGATATGATGTAGTTCAACCTGCTATACCTGTTCATATGAAAACAGGGTTCTCTAGGTGATGATGTTATCCTCCCTTTTTATATAGGCAGTAAATATACCTTATTCTCATGCCTCGTTTTCCTCACAACAACCCTTTGAGGTGGGTTGGACTGACAGAGACTGATCCTAAATCATCCAGCTGGCTTTCATGCCTAAAGGAGTCCTAGAACTCACAGAATCCTGATTTGTAGGCCAGCACCTAAATCCCTATCCAAACTAGTTTTCAGATGTTAAATTCAGGTGATAACATACAAATATATTTAAATCAGAAGGAGAATTTGGTTTGTTCCATGAGTTTTCTATTCCATTGACGGAAAAGGTTTTTATTATCAATCTATTAGAGTTAAAATTGTTCATCATAATATATGTGCTTTTGCTGCTGGGAGAAAAAGCAGTTAAAAAACACTCTATTTTCCAAATTTAAAAACATGTAAAGAAGTTTCCTTATTACAGATTACTCATGTTGACATATGCTATTGTGTTGTTTAATCTAATTATGGGTAATTTTATAAATTTACTGCTAAGCTTATCTCCAGTATTTTACATTATAATCAATTTCATAGACCATTATGTTATTTGCATGGTAATTATAATAATTATTTTTTTCCTGATAGGAACTGGACAGCTTATGTAATCCAATTATTTACAAACCTAAGTCCAAAGCAGAACCACTGTCTAAAGATCAAGGAAAATCTAATAGTGAACAAAACAGGCCAATGAATGGACAAAGCAGCTCCGACACTAAATTAGAGGATAGTTGTCAGCAGCCTAAATCATCTGAAGAAATGGACATGGACTAAGTTTTACATTTCTTTGAGTTCATTAAAAATAGTGCAAGTAATCAGAGGGTCCTTTTTTTTCTTAATTCACACTACATATGTTCAGTTATTTAGAAAACTTTGTCCTTTATTCTTTTCATTAGGTTTAAAGTGTTTTTCTATTGAGCATATTCTCATTGTTCATTCCACTGATTAAGCTTATTGTGAAGCTTTAGTTGAATGTAGATTGTAATCAGTTTAAGCTTTTATGATACATTTTATATCAAAGAGGTGGAATTGATACATAAATGACAACAATCTACCATATTTTATTGTAAGCCACTGCTCCTTTATTCATGAAAGACCACAGTATTGCACTTTCGATGCTGAAGTGTAGATTTTTGCATCTTTATTTTAGAAGATATTCAGTTTGATGTGGCTTGAACATTGCCACCAGAAGCACTGACCTTTTCCTAATTGTTGTATTGTTCTAATTTAAATATTAAAATAGAGGTTAGTTGGCAAGCTAGTTCCTCTTGTTGATGTACCACAATAACTTGTAAAAATTTTGTTGATCAATATCCAAAGCTTGAAAGGACCTTACACCAGCAGCATTCTTTGTCTTCAAACTAGTAACATGATTCAAAATAAAACTCTTGGTCACCGTGTCCACACGGTCCTGTATCATATTTTGTGTTGATGCTGAGATGCTCTTAAAGTTGTAATAGTATGGAAAGGGGCGTTGTCTTACCTGAATGCCTTTTCTCAGTATGGAGATGGAGAATCCACCAATGGGTTGAGACTGTATTCCTGCCCAATCAGATCAGTCAGCCAAAGTTGCCATGCCCGTCCTGGACCATGAGATCCCAGTCTTGACGCGAGCGAAGCCATTGACTGACAGCAAGACGTTGTGGCTCACCATTAACTAACCGTAAGCCTATATGACCTATGAGGGTGGGAGTGGATTCTCCATCTCCGTGCTGAGAAAAGGCATTCAGGTAAGGCAACGCTCCTTCTCCAGCACTAGAGATGGAGAATCCACCAATGGGACATACCAAAGCCTACTGTCCCTGAGGGTGGGAAATAGACTGGTCCCGTGTGTTACTTTGGTGTACAACCTGCTGGAGAACCCTCCTACTGAAGGAGGCCTCTGCAGAGGAAAATCTATCTATTTTATAGTGACGGATGAAGGGTGATGGCGAGGCCCATGTAGCCGCTCTGCAAACTTCCTCAATGGAAGCTTGAGTGGCCCATGCCGTGGAGGTGGCTGCACTCCGTGTGGAGTGTGCTGTAACCCGTCTGGGAATCGGCAATGCCTCCGCCTGATATACCCCGGCGATGCATGCTCTGATCCACCTACCAATGGTGGAGGAGGAAGCCTTCCGACCCCTGGAAGAGGAGCAGAAGGATACAAAAAGAGCTTCTGAACTGCAGAATTCTGCTGTTCGTGATATATAGTACCTAAGAGCCCTACAGACATCCAATGTATGCCATTGACACTCCAGGTCATGCGCTGGATTCGGGCAGAAGTCCGGTAGCACTATCTCCTGTGACCTATGAAATAAAGAATTGAATTTTGGGATGAAAGTGGGGTCTAATCGCAGAACGATCCCTGTGGAAGAAACAGGTAATCCGGTATCAAGAGCGCCACTAATTCAGAGATACGTCGAGCTGATGTAATTGCCACAAAAAATGCTACCTTGTGGGACAGTAGCAGACGTCGCATTCTTTTAGTGGCTCAAACGGTGCCTTGGTAAGCGCCCGTAAGACCCGTGGTAAATCCCACGAAGGGTACCTGTGCACAGTGGGAAGCCTGATATTCACGGCCCCTTTAAGAAAGGAACGGAGTAAAGGATGATGGCTCAGTGACTCCACCGAGTTACAAGAGAGAACCGTGGAAAGAGCAGCAATCTGTCTGCGTAGTGTGCTTGGGGCCAGGCCCCTCTCCAGACCGTCTAACAAATAATCCAAGATGTTGGGGACTGTTAGTTCCCCGATGGACAGGTTCAGGCCAGAACACCAAGATTGAAAGTTTTTCCACGTGACTTCGTATATACAATTCGTGGAAGGATGGCGAGAAACCTGAATTACCCTGATGACCCCTTGCGAACAAAGTTCCCTTGCTAAGATCGAGTGCTCAAGTGCCAGATGGCTAATTTTAGCCATGGCGGTTCTGGATGGAGAATCACCCCGACTGAGTGAGACCCGGTCCGGAGGGATCCGCCAAGGGTCTGTGATGGAGAGGCTCCTCAGGTTGGCGAACCAAGGTCTCCTTGGCCAATACGGGGCCACCAGGAGTATCTCCGCTCGCTCCCGAAGGAGTTTGCGTATTACCGCCGGAAGAGGCAAAGGGGGAAAGGTGTAAAGCAGATCCTGTGGCCATGCGCTCCGGAGCGCATCTGCCTGTTCTGCTCCCGCGGATGGGAACCGGGAGAAGAAGCGAATCAACTGGGCATTGGATGGTGATGCGAAGAGGTCTATTAGTGGATGGCTGAAGCGGTGACAGATTTATTTGAAGACCCTTGGATGGAGACGCCATTCCGAGTGATCTACTGTTGTCCTGCTCAGTAAGTCGACCTGAGTGTTTGCTTCCCCTGATGTATGATCGGCCTTGATTGAGGCCAGGTTTTGTTCCGCCCAGGATCCCAGCAGGAGGGACTCGGACCATAGGGAGCGAGATCAAGTGCACCCTTGGTGATTTATGTGGGCCTTGGCGGCCACATTGTCCATGAAGACTAGTATGTGCCTCCATGCTAACAAGTTGTGGAAGTGCTGTAGTGCTAGGTGGATGGCTCGTAGTTCAAGCCAGTTTATGTTGTGTCAAAGGTCCAATGCGGACCAACGGCCCTGCGTCCACTGAGTCCGGAGGTGTGCTCCCCAACCGAACAGACTTGCGTCGGTCGTAAGGACTAACCTGTCCAGCTCTCTGAAGTCTGAGCATGGCTGCAGACAGCCACCACGTGAGGGAACGCCGCACCCATTGTGGCAGTCTTACTCTTTTTTGGGAAGTGTTGAGGTTCTGTCTCTGGAAGGGAAGCATGAACCATTGCAGCTCCCGGGAGTGGAGTCTGGACCATGGAACAATTGCTATGGTCGAGATCATCTTCCCCAACAATTGGGAAAGACTGGCCAATGTTACTGACTGGTACCGGCATATTTGGAGCAATGACTCCCTTATGCTGTTCCGGCGTTCTTGGGATAGGTATACCCGGCACTCCACTGTGTCTATGATGGCCCCGAGGTGCAACAGTCTTGTTGTGGGTACCAAGTGGCTCTTGGGGAAGTTCACTGAGAACCCGTGATCCTGGAGCAGTTTTACCACCAGTTCTAGGTCCGTCAGGGCGGACCAGGTGGACGATGACTGGATTAATATGTTGTCCAGATAACATTGGACTCTGACTGGTATCGTCCTTAAATGAGCTGCCAGAACCGCCAGGATTTTGGTGAACACCCTGGGAGCCGATGACAGACCAAATGGGAGTGCCTTGTATTGGAAGTGGCGTCCCTTGTATGCGAACCGTAGAAACCGGCGGTGGGCCAGAGATAGGGATATGAAGATACGCCTCGGTGAGGTCAATAGATGTCAATAGATCCCCTTTTCTTACGCTTCCCAAGATGGAGCGGAGTGTTTGCATTTTGAATTTGCGATGTGCCAGATGGAAATTCAGGCCTTTGAGATCTAGAATGGCTCTCCATCCCCCTGATGCCTTGGGGACGACGAAGAGTATGGAGTAAAATCCCTGGCCTCTCTGGTCCAGTGGTACCGGTTCTATGGCCCGTATACTTAGTAGATGTTGAACGGCTTCATTCATGAGTCTTTTCTTTGTTCGGTTCCGGGGGTAGGGGCAAGAGAGGAACCGATTTGGGGGTTTGGAAAGGAATTCTAGGGATAGGCCGTGACGGATGGTGTTGATCACCCATGCGTCCGTGGTGGTGACTTCCTATTGGTGGGCAAACAGGGAAAGTCTGCCCACTATGGGAAGTGCTGATGGGGAGTCATCTGGAACGGCGGAATGGCCGGCTGCTCCCGGGAAAGGGCTGCTTGCTCTGCGCTTGTTGTCTGGGCCTAGGAGTTTGTATATCTGCCTGTCTCTCCTGCCTATCTTGTCTGGCCTGGAAGGGTTGCGATGGCTGGGAGTAGCCAAACCTAGCTCCTGCACGAAAGGACTGCTTCCTTGAATAGTGACCGGGACGTCTGTCCGGTCTCTTCAGGAAGTGATTGAGGACCCTGCACTTGTCCTTGTTTTCTGTTAGATAAGGATTTAGCGCATCCCCAAATAGCTTGCCTCCCTGGTATGGAGTGGCTGCCAGCTTCCTTTTGGATTTTGCATCGGCTTGCCATTGTTTAAACCAAAGTATGCGCCGGCTGGTGATGCTAGAAGCTATGGCTCTTGCCGAAAATCTGGCAGCCTGGAGTATTGTGTCTGCCGCATACTCCATGGCCGCTACCATCTTACTGAGGTCCTGGTGTGTGCGGACGTCCTCCGCTGGGACCCAGTTCTGTAACTGTTGGAGCCAACGGAGTGTGGCTCTGCTAAAGAAGGAGGCGGATGTTGCGGCCCTGATTGCCCATGCGGTTGTTTGGTATGTTCTGCAGTGGGTGGACTCGCATTTGCAGTCCTCAGCCTTGAGGGCCTCAGAAAAGTCCCCAGATATGGCGGTGGACGATACTAGAGACCCTAAGGGCTCATCCACCATCGGTACTTCCAACGCCTCTTCCAGCTCTTTGGCTACATTATACAACCTCTTGTCGATGTTCCCTGGGAGAGGGAGGGAAGCCGGGGGCGGACCATTGTTTCTGGATCACGTTCAGGAACGAGGGACATGGAATGCGGTGCTGGGACGTTACCGGTTCGACGAAGTTCGGGTCTGCCTCCGCATCAGGAAGAACAGGAACCGGTTCTGTTGAAGTCCCCGATCCGAGATGAGCAGTGGATGTGGCCTTATGTAGTAGGGTGACAAAAAAGGAGGGGTTAAAGAGCCCGCTGAATGAAGGGACTTCAAGTGGGATGTCCTCCTCCTCAGACATTTGGACCTCTTGCTCTATAGTGGCCTGGTCGAGATAAGAATCCTCGGAAACATATGATCCCAATGGAGAAGAGGGATATTGATGGGTGTCTGTCCCCTGCTGTTGAACGAGACAGGACGTGGTCATTCCCAGTTTGGGAGCCTGAGTCCTAGCCTCAAGGGCCTGGTCTACTGCTTGTGCGATCAGTATGGCTAAGCGGTCCTCCGAGGGTAAGGAGACCGTCTTGCTAGGGCGTAGCCCTGCTACCGTGGATGTGAATGTGGCCTCGGGAACCCCCCGAGATACCCGTGGGGAAGAGGATTGGGAAAGAGAAGAGAACTCACCTGTCTCCCACCGTGCCGCGGACTGTGAGGATTCCCCTGTTGACCAAACTCCCAGGGGGGAAGTTGGAGCTCCCAAAGGTAAGTCAGGAGCTATGCTTCCAGCCTGAATCCTTTCCAGTCTGGCCCTCTTCTGTGCTCTGGAGAACTCCTTTTCTAGAGCCTGGTGTGTCCTGCTGGCCAGTTTGTCTATCTTCCTGGAAGATTTCTTGGTAGACCTTAGTTGCCGCCGTCTTATCAATGCCTTCCGGACCAGGTAAACCTGATGAGGATGGCAAGACTCCTGTCGAGGGAAGGATAGCTTCCTCCATTCTCCGAT